ACGACTATTTTTGTTTTCGATAAATTCACTGATATTTCCGATTTACAACAGTAATCATGCAAGATATTTAACTTCATTTGAGCTGTGTTACCAGGGTGTCATTAAATAAGAATATAGTAATTAGTTTGACCTGCTTGACAAGGGTATAAGGATCTACACCGAAACGTCGCCATACAGTAAAATAAAGAAGCTATTATCCATTAATTGTGTCTACTTTGTCAAGAATAAAGTAATAATGAAAACGTGGTAATCGGGTCACGGGTTTATTATTATCAGCTAGTTGTAAGTATAGATGACAATAAAAAAAAGGATAAAAAAGACGAATTTACACTGACAAAGAACACAGATTAATTAAACCTGAACAGACATACAAGCTGGTTCGCAATTGTAACACAGTAATAAAAAGAGAGTAGCTAAATCAACACTTTGACAAGATATTTACAAGATGCATAGACAGCCAATTAAGAAGCTTGCAACCAATTAACACCCGAGAGTTAATTAACTCAACACTCGGCTTTGTTAAGTGGCGGGAAATAAACATACACCTCTTAAATAAATCAAGCAAAGGCAAACACTAAAAATACGGGTACTGGAGCTAAGGAGTGTCTAGACTCCCAATCATTAAGAAAGGTGCTTGACCAAAAGTGTAAGACTCCCAAACATAAATATTAGGTATTTGACCTAAAGTAAGCAATCACGGGAATTTTTAATCCGCGGATTATAAGGAAAACGGGATACGAAATATAGAAGCCTAGCCAATAGGTTTCACCTCAATACCATCAGAGTAAATCAGTAACTGCCCCATAACCATTGACTCACGAAACCTAAGTTTTGAATGACCACCCTGAAGCAAGACGACCCGTAAACGATCTTACGATCCCTGCCGGTGAAGACACATGATTTCACCAAGGGTCATATACGTGTGCGCGGACCTCGGAGAGAACAACATGTCCTGGACAGCCGAGGGAATGCAATAGCCTGGTGAGGTATAACCAAAGTGTATCTTCTAACACAGGGAAAACTTGAATAACAAACTAGTTACTTCACCAATACGGAAGAAGCTGGTACCAAACTAAAGCGCTGAACATAATCTATCCAACGGTATCAAAACCAGATATGTACCAAAAAAAATGACATGGCAAAAATGAGAATAAATACATGAGAAATATACCAGTACTAGATATTCACTATACATGAATAATGAAGCAAATATATATGAGATTACATATGTCAAATCAGTACATGATAAAAGTGTGCGATTAAACCGATTAAAAATGCTAGACAATATTACAGCATGTGTAACAGTAATTACGAGTGGAACCACTATTTGTGCAGTTCTTTCCGAGGTATCCTAATTTGAAGCCTATATAACAACAGCATTACCTTGAACAATAGACACAGACAGTAGTTTGCACTTCAGGGCGAGTGGGCTACCATTCCCCAAGGTGTGATCCGTACTCTCATTTCCTCCATAGACAGGAAGTGCCAGGCAGTACTTCAGGCTAATGGTGGACACGAGGTATTGAGTTCTCATGGCCTTGACATTGTCATGGTCCGTGTAATGCCGACTGTCATTACGCACCAAGCGTCCAGATGCCCGGAGAGAGGAGGGTCAGGGTTCGATCCCCGGCTGCGTCATACCAAAAGACGCTAAAAGATGATACTTGTTGTTACCTTGCCTGGCGCTCGGCATTTTAAGGGGCTAAAACAAGGAGTGGTTGGCTTGGAGTCAGTATACTGTGGCTGATTGGGGTATTCATGTTAAACAGCGGCATGGTATCTCAGATGGCTAGCACTATAAAAATCGGCATTAGTCCGAACTGGCACAAGCAGCCACATACGCACGCACACACACGTGCATGCACGTCTCTACATAAGTGCAATAATCTTTCGAGAACGCAACGTTAAAGCCCATTTCACCTCACCTCAAGCGTTCAAATATGCTATAAATATATACGTTTACTTGCCACACCAACATAGAGGAGTATATAAGAATTTGCCTCTTTACAATAAACTATATATAATTCTCTTTTTCTGCATTGGAGCAATTTTCATTCAATTAGCCTAATTTGTAGGTTTCGGTGATAGTGTCTGTTTAGTCAAATTGTTCCAATGACATTGCCTTTGTGTGTCGTTAGAGTGATAAACAAACCATCAGTATGAAATGTGTGAGCGTGTGTGGTTTCATGCTGCCTTTCAGTCAAACATGTACGAGGGCTGGTTGATGCGTTTTGAGCCTCGCATAGAAAGTCTTGACCTGAAGGGACCTTCCCCATTGATGTTAGGGTAATAAGTTTCGTAAATGTCCGTCCTTTGGCTGTCCAAAAGGTTCTCCACAGCTGCTATGAGGTAATCGTTTGAGTCGAAATGAATTCCGGATAGGGCCTTCTTCGTGTTTGGGAACACATTTATACACATGATTTTCGTCGATTTACTGACATCACTATTTCCTTAAAGTTTTCCTACCAGAAATTGTTTCATGATATCCTGAAACTTATTAGTTATATCTGTTTTGTGGATGCATGATGACATTACATAATTACATTCATTGATATTATATATCTTTAATACACATTTGGTGCTTTGGGCAGACACATTTGAAAAAGTCAACGAGGCACAATCTGGATTTAGACAGGGATATATCACAATTGATAACGTTTATATTTTTGATACAGGCAAGTATACAAAGATACCTAACAAAGGATTGCAAACTATAGGCATCATTTTAGATTTTGTAAAAGCATTTGACTGACTCTTGGAGCTATTTAAAACGCATGGACTTAGTAGCAAAATGGGGGAATTATTGTGCTGTATCTACCGTATTGTGAAGGTTTGTGTGTGTGTAAGGACAATACCGTATCGTTTGTTTGTAATATGGGTGTTCGCTAAGGATGTTTCTTAAGTCATTTTTCTTTTCTTTCTTTTCTTTCTTTATCATGAATTAGCAGAGCAAATCAAGGCAAATTGCACAAATATACAGATACACCCTGAAATAGTAAAGTGTTCCTTCTTTGGTTAGTCCGATGATATAGTAATGTTTTAAAGCACAATACCTGGATTACTAAAAAACAACAATTATTTGAACTTGAATCCTACTTACTGTGACTGTTAACAAAACAAAAGTAGTCGTATTTAAACGTAGTGGCAGATTATCGCCAAGAGAAAAATGGTTTTACAGAGGGCAACCTCTATAGACATCGTTACTTTTTATGAATACCTTGGTGTCTATTTTACCATCATGGTGTCATGCTCTATGCATATTAATGAGGCTGCTTTACGCGCTAAGAAAATTTCCATTGACATTTTTCAAAACCTTAAGCAACTTGGACATGTAAGTTATAATACATTTTTTCAAAATCTTTGGCACTAAAATAAGCCCAATTAAGATACATGGGGCCGAACTGTGGGGATTCAGAAATATAGAAAAAGTTCGTTTATATGCTTGTAAGAACTTTCTCGGTGTTCAGCCGAGCACTCCAAATGTTATGGTATATGGTGAATGTGGAAGATGTCCATTGTACATAGACAAGCTTAAAAAGGTTGTGAGATACTGGTTAATTACCATAGATTTTCAAAGTAATGTTACTATATGTTGTTACTCTACGATCGTCATTGTAAATCTAACTGGGCATCGTATGTCAAACAGTTAATTAATTCAACTGGGTATGGTTTAGTACGGTCTGAACACAATTAAATGTGAGTGAGTTGGGTTTATCGCCGCTTTTAACAGTATTCCAGTTATATCGCGGCGTGTCAGCTTAATGTGGGAGGAAAGCCCGAAGTGATGCAGGTCTCAGACGTTTACCACTTCGGTGAAACCCACGAGCACGGGTATGGTGCTGACAAACCTAGAAACATAATCGGGGCGAACCGGGATTCGAACCCACAATCATAGGTTTCTAGCGTGCCCAAGGGACGCAACTCTGAACAGCGAATTGCGGCGCCTTAACGAGTGGGCCCACACAATGTAAACCTGGATCGATTTATTATTGACTTCACAAAGACTTTAAAAGACACGTACTTCCAAAAATGGTTATCTCATCTACCTTTGTCCAATAAATTAAATCATTATTCGGATATCAAAACAAATTAAACAGAGCACTAATTGCTTGAAATAGATTTAAAGAATTTCCGAGTGGCGTACGTTAGTCCGATTTAGATGCAGCTCTCACGATCTCCTTATTCAATAAGGTCGACACTGCATAATTCAAAGAGAAGACAGAACCTGTCAACTGCTTAGTTTTAATAATATAGAAGATGAATATCACATTTTACTTGTTTGTCCATTTTATGCTGACATTAAAAAACAATTCATAATTGATTATTTTTTCAAGGATCCTCACTTATTCTACTTATTTATGAAGACTCATGAAGGCATTTCGTAGTACCATACAGTGATTAGACGCTAAATCTCGATATCTGCTTAGAACACAATGTGTGATCCATGTATTTTGTTGGAGGATTAGCCAAAAAAAATAAAAATTTTTTTTATTAAAACAATTCCAGTAAAAGATCATTGCTATTCCTTAAGATCTACGTAATATGTTTTAAAATGAACAGTATTATGTTAGTCTTTAAAGTAAATGTATTATCATCTATATATTATACTTAATGAATCTGGGATGTTTCAAAGAATAACGTTAGTATGGCAAATTTATTACTTTTGCATGGAGGATACCTATTAAGCGGTACATGTAAGACCCGATTATTATATACCTCCAATCAAAGAAATTACGTATAATGGTATGCTTTACACTCATTTTTTGTCAGCATTTCAGTGAATGAGCACCGAAACAATAATCCTACCCCTTACGTAAAAATGCATACATTTGTTCAAACATGTACATGGTATTATCGTCTGCTTTTGTACATGCTGGTTACCTCCCTTTCAATACTCTTTTGCATTAAAGAAAAGAATACCATTACTTCCGGGGAAATTTTTGCATATCTGTCAATCATCATACCAACTCAGCCAATCACCGAGCAGATCGTCAATCGGTTACTCCGCCCTCCGAAGCTTTTCCGCTTTCATATTTACACGTAACTTCACCGAAAATTATCTGTAAAATTAAATTTATTCCATGTAGCAACAAACAAATGGACGAGAATCAATGCTAAATATATACTCTACACCTGTGAACAATTGTATCTCGCGTATACGCATTTTTCTTTCCACAATCACGATATTTGTTACCCCCTCTGCAAACCACATTTTCACATGCAGCATTGCGATCTATCGCGCTGGTCAGCATATGACCTCTTTGTGAGGGAAGAACGCCATAGCAGATCGCGGCTCACTTTGTACTCGAATATTTTAGGAAATGCCGGTCTCAAATCTTTTCATTCATGTTTCCACTGCCATTTAGAGCTTTCTAAGGTCATTGTGGCTACAATTGGAGACATTTGGACTCACTTCTGACCACTCAGAAGAGTCTTTGTTTTTCCCTCCAAAATTCAACATGCCGCTCCTCAGAAGGCAACCATTCCACAAACAGAAACCTCCGCCCAATTTGCGACCTGATGAAGAGGTTTTCCACTGCAAACTCACAAATGAAGTATTCAGGGACTACGAGTAAGCAAATTGTTCTCCATCCTCTTTCTGTTTGTTTATCATTGTTGCCGGTATCACGTGTACAATATTCACCCAAGTTCACTCGATCTGGGCACATTTCGCTATCGCGTGTACATTCAACCATGCTATCTCGGAACGTTTATTATGTACTGAGCGCCATTTTCTTCATGGGATAACGTAATATGCTACGATTGTGTTTCATCACTCTAGAGCTAATTTCACTCGCGAAACGGATTCAGATGTAGGATGGCATAGGTGATGGTAAAAGCCCAGGTCACTAGGCCTGAACATGACTTCCTTTTATTCTCCCGAATTTATGTCGGATCTTTTTTTAGACTCCATGACATTGCAATGCAGGAAATGTTGTACACCGTGCTGTTTTGATTTGTACAACGAACAATGGAGTGGTTTAGACAATTTGTCGTCTTGTCTTTGTGTTAGTTTTAAGATCTAAATATAGGTTTGGTCTTGTTGACAAGATCTAACTGCAATATTCTAGTTTATCAAGATACCATAATATATATGTATCACATCATATAAAACACTAAGGCAGTCTGTGACTTTAGCCACTAGTCCAAATCCCAAGGCTGGTACACATTCAGTTCAGTCTAGTTTTAGCACAGCTAATAATCCATATTATAAACACTAAAATCTGCCGAAAATGATGCAAAGAAACTCAAAAGATTTTTGCATGGACTGCTAAGGTAGTCTTTGTCAGGGGTTGGTCAAATGCAACTAGTCTGGAGCTCATTTCAGATTAGCGGCTTATGTAAAATAACTAGATTTAGGGAGAATATACTTAGTGTCTGCATTTTCACTTGTCTCAGACTAACTGACAAGTGACTGTGTCTGACATGTTATTGTATATTGAAATAAATATCTACCACTGAAGTCTGCTTACAAGGAAATGAAAGAGAGACCAAATGTGCGGCTAATCAGTCTCCTAAAACGAATGACAATGGATTGCCTTATTCGAACAGATCTGTTATGAGGCATACATGCCGTCCACTAAGGGAATGAAAATATGTTTTTGTTAAAATAACAGGGGCTTGAAAACTTTCACAAATGATGTCAGGATGTAGTATTTCATTTAAACAGGGATCAGGCTCGCAGACTTGGTTGGTGCATGGTTAGTCACATGATATATTGTTTAATGACAAAAACTCACTATAGCTCAGTGGATACACCACAAGTCGCTAATGTTCGCATTTCTTTCTGACGATGGACACATTCATTTGACTTGTATAAGTTTGAGTAAAGATAAAGCTTCTGTCAACTTTATTGTACACATGATCAGATCATTTTGTACATGTATCTAAATAATTTTGGCACGGGCTGCGGTAAAACAATTCCCAATCAGACATTTTGTTCCCAACTCTTGAGACCTGCAGTGGATACGCGGGTAGAGTCTGGTAATAGGGGGTCGGGTACCGGGGTAGTAAATGTGGACTCATCCCAGCCTTTAATAGAAGAAAAAACACTTTATATTTTTTTATTCTAATGTTAGCATATAAGCATGGTTGGGATTATCAGTTTCAATGTTGAACATAAAAATTGTTGATTCTAATATTTTATGTTTTTAAATACGAGGAATATAAAAATGATTTCATTATATTTTCAACATGGTCCCCTTGATGTTATTATACACTTGTTCCATCTCTTCTCCATTTCACTGGCGGTCGGGTAGCCTAGTGGTTAAAGCGTTTGCTCGTCACGCCGAAGACCCGGGTTCCATTCCCGACATGGGTACAATGTGTGAAGCCCATTTCTGGTGTCCCCCGCCGTGATATTGCTGGGATATTGCTAAAAGCGGCGTAAAACTATACTCACTCACTCACTCTGCATGTCACTTATCCCTGTTTTGTAGAAGTGTGCAGTGTTAGAAATTAAGCATGAAATGCCTTAATGTTAAAAGTTAATGATTTCGGATGTCCCTAGGTATAAATGCTACCGTAAAGAACCACAAGCATCCCAGGACCTTTCTTTATTTCGAACATTGCAAATATTGTGATTATTGTTTCAGGGAGTTCTTTGAGCGCATCATCTTATGCAACAGCTTGGTGTGGTCATGCTGCATCACCGGCCGGTCCGGCCTGACCTACCAGGAGGCCCTGGACAGCGAGGAGAAGGCCAGGAAGAACCTGTCAGCCTTCCCCAAATACCTCCAGCGGCCCATTCTCATCCTGGCCAGTCTCACATACAGGACCAGGCTCATCGACCTCAACGAGGATGTCTTCTCCTTTGCCAAGGACAGATATTTCATTGGGGAAATAGTAGATGTTATGGTTGGAACTGTCAGGTAAATAAGTTATACATAAACAAAACTTAAAATAAGTAGCAACCATGGTAACGAGCTGAAATACTGGATCTCTTGTGGCTTGCTTAAAAGTATTGTTGAATGTTTGCATCCTGATGGATAACGTAGCCTATCTAAATTTATACAATACATATTGGTTAGGACTACCTTGCAATGCATTTTTTGTCATCTGGAATATGCCTTTGAGGTCCTCTAGTGGTTGACCCAAATAGTACAACTTTGTGCTTAGCAGTCCTTAGCAGTCCAGCCTAGCTTAAATTTGGAGGGCTCTAGACTGCTTCATGTCTTTCAAATAGGATTAGATTTCAAACTTTAGTAGCCTCAGCTGATAGTAACATCACTGTCCCCATGGGGATTCCAGGTTAGAAGTAATTGTGATTTTTTTGCAAATATCAATTTTCCTAGACACACTTAGTCAATTTCTCAGTGCAGAAAATTCATAATATTCATGCAAAGTATTTAAGTGTCCAAGTGAAAGTGATGAAGTCACACACTCCATAATCGGCTATTAAAAAAACACCTATTTGTGGGCATGGCCTAAGGCTACTGGCACAGTGGTAACAACCGTTTTTATTGCCTGTTACGTTTGCCATGTTTATCTATCTCATGATTCATAGCCGTTGTACATATATACTGTTTTATTTCTGTTAATCCCACAAGAATATCAAAGATTCAGGTTAGGATAAGTCTTCAGCAACTCCAGCTTACCGTAAAAGGCGACTATGCTTGTTGGGCGAGACAACTAACAGGATCGGGTGGTCAGGCTCGCTGACTTGGTTGTCATCGATCCCAATTGTGTAGACTGATGCCTATTATGTCAATCACAGGATTGTCTGGTCCAGACTCGATTATTTACAGACCACCGTCATAAAGCTGGAATATTGCTGAGTACGGCGTTAAACAACATTGTTCAATGTGTGAAACGCTCCTTGATCTTGATATCTGAATAATTAGGATAACAATTAACAATCAGTAACTAGGGTTTTATTAGTAACATACTGTTTGGGTAATAAAACACCAGCTGCCCTCGGCCCTATTCCACACAATAAATACCTATCGGGCATAAATCCCCCGAGGAAATAACTGAAGGCATCTTCAGTGTTGTTCCTAAAGTGACATAAGTTGTGGCCACAGTAATCAATGGATAAGCAGACAGAAAAAAGACGTGTTTTACAAAATCTGAGGCAGAAGCAGGCAGACTGGGCATAGGCCCAATTGTAATGATCCTTAAACTTTGTGCAGTGCGTCAAACGCAGGGAACTCGTTTTAACCCCAGTAAGGGGATTCCCCACAGCGGTGAAATTTTTCGCCTTTTCTTTTGTATGGTCTGTTTTACGAGTTATCTTTGGTCAAGCTTTTGTGATTCAGTATGCCCTAGAGTATTAAAATCTGCACAGTTGCTGTGTTGACTTTACTTGCACTTCAAACAACAAACAAAAGATGCATCACTGATGTTTTCATTTCAGGAAAAGTTGCCGTATCTTGAAGGTAGTGTCACCATTACAGCGAAGCCAAGGCAATGGTGATGTCATTGTGATAGACATTGACAGTGACTCTGATGATGACCAAAGAGGGTAATATATTATATTTTAGTTACCTGATTAAGTCTTTTCTACGTAGTAAAGTCTGTTAAACATGATGTTGAAGTATGACAAGGAATGCTTTGGATAACAGCTTCTTTATAATACACACACAACATTTCTTGGCCTTCATGAGGTGACTGCAATGGGGGAAGATGAAAAAACTGAAAACCGAAAAACTGACCAGCCCTCTAGATACCGATAACGTTAAACAGGCTGTCTTGGGCTAGTGATTTGAGATCATATCCAGCTTGTGATGGGGTTGTTATTCAGCCTTAGGACCCACAATGTTTACAGGTCTTTACAGTGTTGTCACTACCCCTAGTGTACAGTACATTCGCCCTGTGCACTGAAGAGAACCCACTTGTTAGATAGTAGATCACGTTGGTGGAAACACCCGAGACACAAGTGTCTAAACGTGTGGTGTCACACTGAGCAAGTGACTTCCGTCAAATGAGCCTCTGTTCACCCAGCAGGGAATGGGTTCCCGATTTGTGAGGTAGATGTAAAAAGCCTCTAGCGGCCGAAAGCAGCTTGGGTTGTATACTTCTCAGGGAGTTGAAAGTGGTAACTGGAATGCAAACGGATCCACTGGTCGGGGGACAAATAAAACCGGATTTGAGCAGATTTGTACCTGGATACCTGCGGTATAACATAATAATAATAATAATAATAGTGCCAAGTTACATTCATATATATTATAAGTTGTAGCAGTATCACGAGGGGTAAATGTGGTTTTATGCGTCCCGCGTTGGGTTTTTATACCATGAACCGGAAGTATAAAACCACATCTATTGTGATAACGCTACAACAAATTTATCTTACCGACACGTTTCAATCTGCCATTGGAAAAGAATTAAAACAAATTAAAAATTTATAGAAACAGCTGCGCAGTTCAGCTGAGGTGAACTTGTGCTGTGTCATGTGACTTTCATTGACCCGGAAACAAAATGTGCCTTAATGCTCAGGATTCCACATACAGCTTGTTTTCTTTGTGGTGGGGTATAAAGGATATATTATCCTGCTCGAAAATGTATTTCCCTCCCAGACGGGATACATCTGCACTTCATTGTTAAGAACTACTGCTACAATTAATTCAAGGCTCATTTTCAGCCATACCTTTTACATTTTGAAACAAAGTTGAAAAAGAAATGAAGATATAGGTTTGCCTCCTTTGTTTGATTTAAGACTTATTAAGGATCATGTTTAACCATGAATATTTTAAAACAATGTTGAAAATAAATAAGCAGGTTTGGATTCTTTGTTTGATTTATACATCATTTTTAGCCATGTTTGTTTTGAAACAAGGTTGATTATGAATAAGCAGGTTTACATTATTTGGTTTGCAGTCCATCAGGTGCAGGCTCCCGACTCGGCCCCCTTCCTGACAAATATGAGTATGTTGTCCAGGAACTCAAGCAAACCAATGTCATGACAGTACCAGCTTCAGCGATCAGGTAAATTATTTATGACCACATTTGTTCATGCTGCCTTTCAGTGGCTTATGGTGTTTTTGTTGAAATCCTATTAATAATAGATGGTATAAGAGCTTGGGAAGGCTGTTCAATTTCTCAAATTCAAGATTAAATTCTAAATTTCATGCAGTGATTATATTTGCTTATTAACATGCATCATTTGATCTTGTATAGGGAGTGATAATATGCAAGGTTATCACTGCACAAGTTGCTCCTTGATTTTATAAATTAGGTATATTTTTGTTCTCAAGAAAAGAAAATTATATTCACTTTGATGCCCCCAAAAACTGATTTGGTAAAATTAATTTAATTTTAATTACTGTTTTCGACGTAATAAGCGCCCAGGGCACTATCAAAATTAGAAATAGGGGACTCTTATTAGAATATTATCTTGGCAAAAAAAAACAGTTGAAAGATAAATTTCGTGGTTTATGCTGACAGCCTGAAATGTTTATGTACGACAGATATAACTTTCAAAATTTAATTGCCCATAATTAAGGGTGCATATAACACACGAATGTGTATTATTTGCGAATAAATAAGTATTGATCAATTGGAAGGGGTGCTAATTGAGATTGTTCACAAGCCAATATATTAGCAAATATCGCCGTGGGCGCTTATTAGAGCGGGGCACTTATTAGGTCGAATAGGGTAATTGGAAATAATTGACATGTATATTTTTATAGATATGTTTTTCTTCAGTCGAAACAAAAATATGTTTAATTTGGGGCATTTGTGTGTTGAATAGACCATAAAGCCAAATGAAGGCATACTGTATGTGCTTTGTGTGAATGATGATCCTAATTATAAATGCTATAGGATCCTTTTTCAGGTGCATTTGCAAATAAATGTTTGCAGTAGAGTTGAGTAGACACATGACAGACATTTCATAACTTTAGTTTATGTCAGCATGGCCAGTGTGCTTCATATAGAATACTACATGAGCTACTGTGTAATACCAATTTTTATGAAAGGAGTGAATAGTTGTGGTGTCTGACATGCGAAAGCAAGTCGGATATCAGAACTATTCACGAGTTCCATGAAATTGGTATCACCCGGGAGCTCATGTAGCATTTTATTTTTTACTTGCTGTTTATATTTTTTTTTAAACAAATTTCACTGCTTGTAAATAGGCAGACATCTACTCGATCTAGAGCATAATCCAATTGAGTTTCACACAATAATACTTCACACACATTAAAAGTTGACACATGTTAGTTTAACACCAACGGCCTACCTTTAGAATTCAGGGGTCCCTTCCCCAAAGCTATCGTAACTCCCATAATTTAACATAGACTTACGACAGTCATTGCGCTGCAGCATCTTTGTGAAATGGGGCCCTGCACCACAAAGTTTACAAACACGTCAAAATACCCTACGACGTGATTCGTAAAATTTTGTTGCAAGATACACCGGCGAAACAATGCCATATATAATGGCGCCAGCCTAGCAACATGGGTTGCTGGGGTTATCGAGTGTGCATAAACTTCTCCCAGTGAGCTATCATTTCTACAGGCAGTGTCAGTGAATAAGCCCAGTGGTGTTGGTAGCTTTCAATATATGTTTGTGAAACTAGGTCCTGCGGGACATAAGCATGTTCTTTGGCATTAAACACTGTGTAATACCACATTATACCAGCTTCTTGTTATTAAGCAGTGGTATCTTCAACGGGTGAATAATAATCATGCCTATTGTATCCCTTAAGGTGATACAATTTACATATTCCTTGGATGTGTCATAAGTTGTGTTCTCTCAATTACAGTCGGAAACGGACTCTTTATACCAGAGAGAAGAGCAAACTGTTTCTGAAACATCATGCAGACTCAAGTTCCGGTGTGTTTAGAGTTAAGGTAAGACCAAATACTCATGTTGATAGCATGTCCCTAATACTGGTATACAGATTGCCAAAAGAAGAACCTATAGTGATATCGCTAGAGACATGATATGGCATTAGGACATTATCATGGTTTTATCAACTTTTGAAAGGACATTCTTCAATACCATAACCAAATTTCAAAAAAGTCTTCAGTTAATTTTGATTGGCACTCAGTCAATGTCTTGGAAATGAATTGATCAGCAACCCTGTTCAATGTTTAAAGGTCTTAACATCATAATCAGCATGATCAGTAAAAATAACTAAAAAAATGTAATGTTAATCTCAAATGCTCTTTTTTTGTTAAAGGATGTGTTTATTATGTTTATTGTGAACCCTAATCATTACTACCTTAATTGAGGTGAATATGTAGAAAAATTTGTTTGTTTTAATTAAAATCTGTACAAGGAGAAGGTTTGCGTGGGCATGAAATGGCCCTAAATACAACATGACTTGAAAAGGCCCTAAATACAACATGACTTGAAAAGGCCTTAAATACAACATGACTTGAAAAGGCCTTAGATTACGAGTTTAAGATTAATATATTATTCATTGATTCATCTCATGACAACTTTAGGTGAAATTCATCAACAATGAACATCATTTTAGAGTTAACTCCCTTCCTCTCAGGCATTAACTCTGTCAACACCGCAGGCCAGTACACTGGCCTCAACGTCATGAGTCCCCATACACTGCAGGCCAGTACACCCAACAGACTGTAGCCACGTCAAAATAATATATATTTGTATGAACCTAATAGTCAAATCATTCATTGATTGAATCTATCACTTTCTACAATGTCTGAAAGCATGTATTTCATTTCAATTCATCATATTTTATCGATAGATTTAAAATATGAACTATTTCCCACAATGTTATTGAAAAAAAAGATTCAGGCACACATGCTTCAACAACAAAATGTCAAAGAGCAAAATAAAGACGTTTCATGCGAGTCTTTAAAGAAATTAAATAAAGTATTAAATGTAATCACAACAAAAATGTCTCTAAATGTTGTCAAATTTACATCTAATTTATTTTTCACATCTTTTCTTGCGATCATGTAATGTAAGTCAAATGACATGTCAGCTCGACAAATGACATGTTGCCTCAATTTTTATGCTTGGATATGAAGTTGAATTCCAAAATATATGCATGAGAAATTTTTGTCACATGTTGTAACCTAGATCACTTTGTATTTTAAAAATAGGTCGCATCTTCCTGCTTAAATCATTTAGAATAACACAAATTATATAAAATCATTAGTTTAAATTGGAAAATCATGATACATGGGGACATGTCCATTGTTGCAATTTGATTGGCTGTCTTAGGTCATGTTCATGAATTTGACCAATCGCGATGCTTAAAACATGTAGCAGATTACGGGGGGAAAAAGCGTCATTAGACACCAATTTCTATCCTATAAAAACTCATGTTACAACTAAGGTGTCACGATAAATCGAAATATCGATATATTGCTATTGGTAAGCACTTAAAGTCATTAAATCGATTGTTAAGTCAGGTTCTGATCAATAGTATCGAGATTGATGTGTCTGGTTTATAATACTGATTGAGTGAACTTATGCTGTTTCCAGGAAAAAGTTGTCAAAAGACTTAATCTGCAAACAGCCAAGTTTGAAGACTTTTTCTCAGGGCCTCCACCAGTTTTTGAAAAATCTGAGATGAAGAAGAAGATATCCCCCAAACGCCCTGAGAATCGCAACAGCACAGGCAACACTAGTCTGACAACCCCACCCAACAAAAAGAGGGGCCGCAAGAAGAAGGATGACAGAATGATGAAGGAAAAGAGAAGCCCCAAAGGTTAGCTTGACAATAGGAGATAATATTAGTAAGATAACCTCTTTAACCCCAGGAGGATTCTGGTTCAGATTATGTCTCCTTGTGTCTATTGTAAAAGTACAGGTGAAAGTAAAAGGTGTGCAGGAAGTCTGTGGTCAGGGGTTCGAAATCCGGTTTCTAGATTACAGCACCATACACATGCTCGTGGGTTTCTTCAAAGTGGTAAATGTCTAACACCTCCATCACTTCAGGCTTTCTTCCTGGCATTAACTTTGGAGATATAAATTGTGAAACAATTTAGCAAGGACACCAGCCTTGTGGAATCAGTTGCCATATCTGTGCTTGTAGACCTCTGCGGCTTAGAACCTGTGCCCCAGAATTGGCCAAAATGTCTCTGAATTGTTACCTTGTTTCGTTTTGTTGCTGTGTGTACATCTTACTGGTCTGGGGGGCACAGGTGGCCAAGTCGTCTAAGGTGCAACGATTCACTGTGCAGAGTTGCGTCCATTGGGTTTGATTGTGGGTTCGAAATCCCGGTTCGCCCCGATTATGTTTCTAGGTTTGTCAGCACCATGCCCGTGCTCGTGGGTTTCACTGAAGTGGTAAATATCTGAGACTGCATCACTTCGAGCTTTCCTCCCACATTAAGCTGACACGCCGCGATATAACTGGAATACTGTTAAGAGTGGTGTTACACCCAACTCACTCACACACTCTGACTGTGACTCAAAGTCACAGGAGCTGTTGACATGCTGCTATGTGATAGGTGGAATGCTGTTAACTGAGACATTAAATAATATGCCACCCACTTTCTGAACTTGTTTTGTCTTCTGGGTATTCATGAGATTGGATAAGCTAATTAAAAGCTACATATGATCTTTTAATCTAAACGTTCTATTTCATTACAAATAGTATCGTCAAATTTCAAAAATATTTTTTGTCATTAGTCACTGACAAAAGTACTGTCAATTGATTGTCCATGTCAGGCTGTGTAGTCATTCTGTATGGTGTTTCCCCAGAGATGAAGACTCCCGAACAGTTGGCACGGGAGCAGATGCCGCACCTAACACCGGAGGAGAGGGCCCAGTTGAAGGAGAAGATGAAGCAGGACAAGATGGCTGAGAAGATGGCCAAGAAGGAGGAACTCAGAAAGCGAATGGAGGAAGAGAGAATGAAAAAGAGGGAAGAGAAAGCAAAGGTGAATTCTAGATTTGAAAACGGAAGTTGACATATTATATAGTTATGTTAAGGTGTCTCAAATGTTGAACTAATTTGATCAATCAGAGAACACTTTCTAGATTGCAATGTGAATATTTTCTTTGTCAAAATGTCTTATAACAATTTTTAAAATAACAGTCATATTAATTTTATATATCATTCAGGAACGTGAAAAGATGCGAGAAGAAAGGTTGAAGGAAATTGAGATTTTGAGGGAAAAGAATAGGCCAAGAGATGACATGGAGTGCGATGACTTGAAGGTCAGTAACCATTGGTTGATGACACAGTTTTGTCTGAAAACTAGAAGTATTATATATGACACGTTGAAACGACTAGTTGACCTGTCAATTATTAGTCGAATGTCCTGACTGTCGACCGAAAAAATAAATGGTCGACAGTTGACATTCTTTTGTTGCTCTGCATGCTGTTAAAAAAAAAATGATGTTAGTAAGTATTGACATGACTGTACCGCTAATTCTTGTAATTCTGCTAGTTCAATTAAAAAAATCAAGCCTAAAAACAGATGTAATTTTAGATACATGTATATACATCCTTACATCACTCTGCTATGAGTACGAGCTTGACAGTAGCCATATTTGTCATTTCACTTGTCACATGATCACCGAATAGAGCGAAAATTCTGTAAAAGCACTCTAATCATAGTGAATATTTATTCCTGGTGTGTACTCTTGTTACCTTCAATAGTCTGATCTTTTGGACCCGTTAAGATTCGGGGTAGAATAGATCTTCAGTAACCCATGCTTGCCGTAAAAGGAGACTAGGCTTGTCGCAGGAGGCGATTAACGGGAACGGGTGGTCAGGCTCGCTGACTTGGTTGAAGCATGTGATATCAATCACTGGATTGTCTTGTCCAGACTTGATTATTTACAGACCACCGTCGTATAGCTTGAATATTGCTGAGTGCGGCGTAAAACAACAAACCATCCAACCAATCTGATCTTTTGCACACATATAATTGCAGGTTATGCCAAACTTCAAACCAGTGCAAACAAGGGTCCCAATGGAATTATTCGGGGATGCAGTCATGGTTTTGGAGTTCATTCATACTTTCAAGAGTCTGTTTGATTTTAAGCAATTCTTCCCTAAGGGGTTTTCTTGGGGTAAGTACTTTCATAGTGCTTTGAATGTTTGAATACTGATCAATATCATTAGCAGCCCTGTAAAACGCAACTGCTTTAACGTTCAGATGGAATTTGACCACTGCTGATGCCTGACTCCACCGCTGGTGATTTTTCTAAAGACTAGTACACAAATATTATTGAAATTAGGTAAGCACAAGGGCTGCAACGAATACACCATGAGGCAAATACGATTCATATCATGAATATAGGGTAACAGATACGAATATTAATCCACGAATACAATATCAAGTCAGCAGCTGATGTATTATCTGTTATATTCAGTGAAACAGTAACAACATAAATTATTTGACATGATTTGTTAACTATTAATATATTATACATTTATATACTGCACCTATCAAGGAACTAGTATATGCTTAAATGCGACAATGACCACAATACTGTCAAATTGACCCTTGAAGATCCGGGGTAGAATAGGTCTTCAGCAACCCATGCTTTCCGTAGAGTCGACTAACAGGATCGGGTGGTCATGCTCTCTGACTTGGTTGGTGCATGTCATTGTAACCTAATTGCATGGATCGATGCTCATGATATCAATCACTGGATTCTCTGGTCAAGACTCGATTATTTACAGACCGCCGTCATATATCTTGAATATTGCTGAGTGCGGCATTAAACAACCAACAAATAAACTGTCAAATTATATATTGTAACAGTGTTGTCTTTGAAGAATTGTATGCACAAATATGTTCTAATGGATATTTTTAGGTACAGGGTATGTAAATGCACATGATTGCATATTCATAAATATTTGATTCTAGTGGTCAATTCATGAATGGATATGGTTCGATTCACCGAATACGCGAGTTAATCATAAACAGACCTAGTAAACACAAATCTGTTGAATTCATCCTAATGGCCCTGGGGAATTCTTTTGGCACCATCATGAAAAGCCAAAGGTTAAGGTTAAAGTTCAGATTGATGTAATTCATGGTTATATCATTATCAGTTTCTGAGGCATTGTTATCTCTGCTGGTGGCCTGTCTATCAAAGGTCAAGGTCATCTTTGAGGCTGTTGATAAAGATGGTTGCATGATTCATTGCCAGTCACTGTTGCACTGTTTCCTTTACAATCCATGATCTTAAGTCTTGATAAGGTCAATATCTGAGATAATGTTTTCAGACTGAAACTATGTATGTTAAGATTTTACAATCTTTGGTGAAATGGCGGTGAAGGTCTCCACCTTACTAAAACCAGACCTTTTACTCTTATAAAATAGCTCTCTACGTGAAGATCTGAAATTGTCCTTAGATTGGATAAACAGTTCAGATATATATATGTTAGGAATTTTAGAACTAGAGTTTCCTTGCTATTGCGCCCTTCAATATAGCGCAAACTTAGTTATAGCATGCGGTAATGAATAGCTCCCATATATATACCATACCATTTTTAATAAATTCAACTTTTACACTGATACAATGTTCTTTCCCCACGCAAAAAAATATTACCAGCTGATCACTGAGAGAATGTAACACCTGAAATACCAGTCAAGAAATTCCGAATTTGTGGCAATTTGACTATTATGCATTAATTTTGTTGTTGTCAAGATTGTCCTGCAGGAAGTCCCTACAGTGACTGGTCAAACATTTTTACATACGTAAAGCATATTTGGCAGTTGCAGTTAGCTGTACCAAATTGATATGCTTATGGTTCTAATCATTTTAATATCCATAGTAAAAGCTGTAACTAAAATAACATATTGGAGTATATTGTTCCTGATAAAATATTAATTTGAGATTCAATTTCTTCCAACCATTGCATCAAAATTCTTTGAAGTAACAACGCTGGGTAGTTTTTAACTGAATTAAATGGTAGAATGGGTGAAAACGTGTACAGCTGATTGCTATTTACGAGAAAATACACATGGTAATCTTAATCTCTGCATATAAAACAATACCTTGGAGAGCAAGAAAAACAATTTAAATGATAAATCATCATGTTTAGTGATGTTTTATCTCACTTTTCAAATATATCTGTGGTTCACTTGAATTTGCTGAAGGGATACAATGTTTTTTGCTGTGCATTACACTTGATAAATCTCTTTTGTCCCCTCTTTTTGACACTATGAATCGTGGAACAACTATATTTTAATATTCTTTTTTAAATCTCTGATATGCATTGCAACGTGCTGCATAGATTGTGTTAGGTAGGCCAAGCATATTCAGTTGTGTTGGTCATCTACCGCCTATGACTCCACTTCGGTTAAAATGCTGATCGTCTATAGCACTCATCAACTATTTGGACCCCTAAGATAGCGTTGTAGCGAGGGATCTTTGTACAATGATCATTTTTGATAATGTCTTGGCATTGTAATCACATTGTGAGTAAGTGGCTAATCTTAAACCAAACTCCTCTCTCTCTTTTGTGACAATGGCAATGCATCTCAACATTCTACATTTTACGACCATTCACATGAATTGGCTATACCCTGTATACCACATCAAAACTTTTGGCATGGCTTAAACCAATATGAAATTAATGAAAGAATATGCCTCAGTGTTTTTGCAAGCTAATGTTAAGTGAATCTGAAATCTGAAATGCTTCTTTTTTGGATTTTGAAAACACTTCTTAGGTATATTGGTGTACCCTCTGTCTAAAAGTTTGCTTCTTAAACATGAAATAAGATGTCTCTGATTTGCCAGTTATGAATCCTGAACTTTTAACTCATGACACGAGTGTAGTGTGACATATGCTGTTGTGTTGTAGGAATGCTGGAGTCTGCACTACTGGACCACGATGTAGATGGGCCCATGTGTGACCTGGTCCAGATGCTGTTGGTGACTGTCTTCACTCTACAGGAAGAGGAGGCAGAAGAGGTGGAGGAACTCGATAAGGAAGACCAGGAAATGAGTATGAAATACTTTCAGTACAACTGACTTGACGTTATGTTGCCATTCTGGAAAGTGATAGGAATTGTTATTTTCTGTGGTCATTAAGATCGAAAATATCTTAAATTAATTATGATAACTGTACATTTATTGAAATATATGGGGGACCTAGCGGTTGATTCCCTTTGACTTGAGTTTGAAATTATTTTCATCCTCCCTTCAGGCATCACAATCTTGCATTTTTTTCTGTGAGACGTTCAGATCTGTAGATGTAGCTGTAAGATGTCTGTGCAAGTGAACCCTCCCTGACATAGTTGAAGATGGTTGAAACAGTTTCTGTGGTTAAATTGTTGAAACATTGAACATTTTAACCGTAAATTACTGTCGTAATTGTTGCTTCCCTATGACTATGAGTTTGAAATAACATTTCCAATAAAGTTCCTTCCATCTCCTATGAAATCTTAAATATATCTTGGTCTGATTCCTGTGTGTTTACGGTGTATGTATGCAGTCCATAGCTTGATCTGTGTTCTTATATGGTGATGTTTTTGCAAAGCAATGAATGAGGAGGCCATGGAGGAGGATATGACAGCCAATCAGATGATCCTAGCTGCCACCATGACTGCACAGATACCACAAATGACACATGGTTAGTTAGCATCCTTATCACTGATGTAGAGATGTGGTGAAATGGGGTTTAACATTGCGTTCAATATCCTTGCCTAGACTAGTTAAATATAGAATACTAAACGAGCTCCCGTGTAATACCAATTTTATGAAACGAGTGAATAGTTCTGGTATCTGACGAGCGAAAGCGAGTCAGATACCACAACTATTCACGAGTTTCATAAAATTGGTTTTACACGAGAGCGAGTTTAGTATTTTATTTATTACTTGTCATTTATAATGTTTTTAGAATTATACTGTTGAGTGTCACCTACTGACACCTACACGATCCATTGCATAATCCAATTGAGTTTAACAGAATAATACTTCAAACACGTCAAAAGTTGAAACGTATGAATTTAATATCATATATTATATAATGGTCCACCTTTAGAATTCAGGCGTTCGTCCCACAAAATTATCGTAGTGCTAAGGCTATCACAACTCACATAATTTAACTTAGACTAAAGACTCTCGTTGCGCTAGAGTACGATCGCCTTGTGGAACGGGGCCTTGCAGCTCAAAGTTTACAATGACGTCACAATACCCGATGACGTGATTTGTTGAATTTTGTTGCAAGATCCATCGGCGAAACAATGCCATGTGACGTCAGCCTAGCAACAAGGTTGCTGGGGTCATCGAGTGTGCATAAGTTCCTCCCAGTGATCTATCATCTCCACACACAATGTCGTTGAATACGCCAAGGGATGTTGAGAGCTTTCAATATTTGTTCGTGAAACGTGTTCCGAGAGTACATAAGCACGCGTTTTGGTATTACACAATGTGTAATAAAGCTGTATGTTTATTAAACGGGTGATCTCTTCACGGGCAAGTAATAATGCAATGTTTGACATAAGGCATGATAGTCAAGGTTTTTTTTCCCATATTATAAGCTAGATTCATACACTATGGCAAGCTAACCTCAAGGACGCCACCATAATATGGCTGGAATTTTGCTGACAGCAGCATGAGATCAAACTTTATTTCTTCTTGACCATTGTTAAACATGTTAAAAGTAGTGCTTAGTTATCCTCATATGAGGTTTAGACTTCCAGGACTCAAGCATATTTCTAATGCTGTTAGTTGTAGAACAACATTAGTTATCATCACATAATACTGCAGTGCTCCAGATAGATACATACCTTATCGGTGTCTGTTATCTGTGCATGTGCACTTAATCATGTTAAGTACTGTAATGACAGTCTTAGACTTTAGCCACTTGTCTGAAGCCTTAATCTAGTTAAATTCCTTTCAGTCTGGCAAACTTTGCTAATAAAAGTCCACACATTAATACCAAGATCTACTGAAAATGATGTCAAGTGACAGGTTTGGGCTAGTAGACTTAAAAGTTTTTCGCATGACTGTAATGGCATAGTAATGGAAATAAGAGTTATTTCAGATTGTATTTTACTGTAAAAATAAAACTATTATATTATGGAAATAGAAATTGTACAAAATGAAAACCAGATGATAGATCTGTGTTTGTAACTAATCTTGATATTCCAGGAGTTTGTCATAACCCTAGTGCGAAATATTACAGATTCCGGAGGTCCATGGATTTAAAAACTATAGCCGGAAGTCATGAGAACCCCAAAACCAGCTCTTTTTTCTAACACTATTGACTGCTTGCTTTATCTGCCCTGAGTTGAATCTTTGATCTTTTCATTGTCGCGATGTCTAGGTATGCCCCTCAAGAAGATGTTGTTGGACCAGTTCACTCTGACAGAGATTCTGCGAATACACTTGGCTTCATCTGGAGCCCGTGCGAGCATGAAGAACGCCAGGTTCCGCTACCAGCAGCGAGGAGGATACACCTCACTTGATGATGCTGGCTTTGAGTTGAAGATGCAGGAGCCAGCACTGATCAAGGCTTTAACCATGCACAGTCTGTTTGATCTCATTCCTGGTGAGTTTACTCTAGATGTGACTTACGAGCGCCTCCTGGATGTTTTAAAAATAACACAGAGCAGAAGTCGTGGCAATAGCCAAAAGTATTTGAAAATAAGGAAATAAATATCTATCTATCAGCATGATCAGATACATAACTCATAAACCATTCAGTATTTCTTGATGAAACTTTGTAGGGACATCATACATCTTACAGCCCTGTTGTGTTTAAGCAGGTCCCCAGCAACTTGTTTTGTGAGGCCCATAACTGGATGTCCTCAGATCTTTGTTTAGCATGTTTAGCAGTAGCTACGATCTGATTTTAATGAGATTGTATATATGAAAGGGCAGGGCATAATGATGAATTTTTAACTTCTTCTTGTCCTTGATGTTAATGTTTGAGCATAGTTCCTGTTCAGTTGGTTATAGTAGATTTTGTATGGTGCAGGGGAGAAGTTGCGTGTTCTCAACACCCTAGTGCAACAGATTCTGTCCTACGCTGCTGCCCGGGACATTGTAGAGGAGAGTTATGAGAAGCTGCGTCTGATGAAGTATGACTTGAAACAACTGCAGTGGGCAGAGCAGAGGAGGGAGAGAGAGGATGCACAGGCCAAGTATGTTGATATTATATATCTAAAAACTACTAAATATGGTTGGTTGGGCTTCTATCCATTCCCTTTGATGATGAAATATGTCGCCCAGCAAGTTTTTATGTATCGCATCATGATTGATCATATTGTGCCATTACCATGATCATTTTAGAAACTATCATAACTAAGTGTACTGTCTTCAGTGTCTTTTTCTAAAATATTTTGATTAAGCATGGCAGTCAAGAGGTCCTTATGATAATCCTAATGTTTAAAGTTTAAGATTTGGAGGGTCTCTAGATTCAAATGCAATAGAAGACCTTAAGGAATCCTGGACCACTCTTAGTTTTGGTTGGTTGGTTGGTTTGTTGTTTAACTCCGCACTCAGCAATATTCCAGCTATATGACGGCGGTCTATATATTATCAAGTCTGGACCAGACAATCCGGGGACTGCTGATATAATTCTCTTTTTCTATCAAATATGCAATATAACTGTTGTGTGTTTTGTAGATATCGTCAGCGTCAAGAAGAGAAGCAGAGAGAACGAGAGCGAAAGATTCAGAAGATTCTTGAGAGAGAACAGCAGCTCAAGGCAGAGGAATCTGGGTAAACAGTCAACATTAAATATTTATGTGATGTGTCACTTCAACAATCCACAAGAATATTCTCTTTGGAGTTTGGTATTTTTCTTTTCATATCTAATAAGTCAGAAATAAGACGATGGATCTGAAAAATAAATCTTTAGTAAATCTTTTATCAGGATGATGATTCATTAACCCTTTATTGTTTTTTATCCACAGCAATGGTGCAGTCAATGGTGATGTTAATGAACCCAAAACTCTCAAGAACAAACTTCTGTTGTTGGATGAAGACAGAAATACACCTAGCCCAGACTTAGATGACGAAAATCTCACAGAAGAAGAGAAACAAAGGAGGAGGAAGAAAGAAGAAGATGAGGAAGCGAAGAAGAAAGCAGATTTTGCCAGGAAGGAAGAGGACATGGTCAACAAGATTCTGGAGTTGCAACGGACGAATGCCTTGTACCCAGTAGGCAGAGATCGAATGTATAGAAGATACTGGGTGTTCCATGCCCTACCAGGCTTATTTGTGGAAGATAATGAAGTGAATGTTGATCCCGAAGTGTTAGATCCCTTTTCCACTTACCTTGAAAAACATACCTCAATACCTCATCTTACATCCATAGACGAAAAGAATACAAGTAGTGATAAGGAGAATGACTCCATGAATACATCTGTGGATACAAGTGCAGCTGAGAATGTTGTCCAGCCAGCTACAGATCCTAGAGTGAAGGCCTTGAAGAAAGATGAGGAGGTGATTGTGATTAGTGACTCTGACAGCGAAAGTCGAACAGCTTCTAAGGATGGAGAAATGGAGGTGGATGAACCTCCAGTGCTTGATGATGAACCTCCACCTGCTCTGGAGAGCCTTGCTGCTCAGCAGATCTCAAACCGGAAGAAAACCATGTGGTCCTTTTTAGATAATTCTGACCAACTGAATGAACTTATGGATTGTTTAAACTCAAGAGGATTCAGGGAAAGAGAATTAAAGCAATCATTATTTGAGATTAAAAGTACAGTGGTGAAGTCCATACACCAGTGCCCTAAGGAGGACCTGAGCCTACCTCCTGATGCTATGGAAGAGGCCAGAGTCAAGGCTCTGGCTCTTACTCGAGGGATCTCTGGCAAAAAGGCTGCTCGTGGCACTGTGCAAAATGATACTGCACAAGAAGCAATAGAACTTAATCTCAGAGACACATTGTTAGACCTTGAAGACAGGATCTATGCAGGAAGTTTAGGATACATGAAAGTAAGTCCAACTTGTCATTTAGGCAGAAAACAATGTGCAGTACAACCACATACCGTATTCGACATAATAAGCGCCCAGGGCGCTCTCAAAATTAGAATGAGGGGGCTCTTATTAGAATATTATTTTGGTGAAAAACAACAGAGTTGAAAGATCTTAAATTTCATGGTTTATGCTGATAGCCTGAAATGTTTATATACGATAGATATATTTTTCCAGAATTTAATTGCCGATAATTAAGGGTGCATATAACAAATATGTTATGCACAAATAAATAAGTCTTGTGTACATTGATCAATCGGAAGGGGTGCCAATCAGGATTGTTCACTAGCCAGTATACATGTTATGTTAGCAAATATCCCTGTGGGAGCTTATAAGAGCGGGGCACTTATTACGTCAAATACGGTAATCCAAATGGTTCTGTTGCCAGTGAACTCACCTGGTAAGGTTTAACAAATGTCCTGATTAATAATGTTTATTTGTTGTTGTTTAACGCCACACTCAAGAATAGTCCAGCTATATTATGACGGCAGTCTGTAAATAATCGAGTCTAGACCAGACAATCCAGTGATTGACATCATGAGCATCAGTCAAAGCGATTGGGATAGATTGACATTCATCAACCAAGTCCATGAGCCTGTCCACCAAATCCTGTTTGTCGCCTCTTACGACAAGCCTAGTTGCCTGATTAACAATGTGCCTTAAATTATGTAGAGATGTTCCCAGTCGTAATGGTCCAGAAGATTGCAAGATTCATACAGTCCTGAAAAGGCCTTGAGTTTTAGTGTTCCCCGTCTGTATGAACCTTGGATGGGGTTTGGGACTAACGGGACTAATCAGGTTTCACTGCATGTTTATTTCAGCATGAATATTTATGAAAAGATTCTGTTGTGGATGGTGGAGTGACAGGCTTAACATCATGAAAATAATCTCATTCACATTTGGGATTTTTGTTACAAGTTTGAGCATGCTGAAAGTGTGATTTGTGTTGCAGAATGGCTGTAACATGATTACATTAAATATATGGTGTTAGACATTTAATGATAAATTTTGTATCAGTGTTTCATCAAAATGTTGAGCAGGGAAATAAGTTTCATAATTGTAAGCAATTGCCTAAATAATGATAATGTATCTCCATGATCATAGGCAAAGTATGGAAAAAACAAGGTACTGCTTGTTCAATGAATATCTCAATGTAATTTTAACAACCAACTTGGTTGTATTTGTAACTCCAAATTTGTTTTCCATTGTGAAGCGTATGTCCTGTAAGCTTGCGTGCTGTGCCATATTTTATCAGTAGATGCAGATCTTGAGGATTTTCCCGCCATTCTATCCATGAAATTGAAGAAAACATTCTTTCAAACTTAGTACCTGTTGTCAATGCAGTCCGTGGTTCATTTTACAGATCAAGGACAGAGCAGCATGGAGAGATGCAATAGAACAAGGCAGCTACTTTGCCCAGAATGATGACCCAGTGTTTGCCAGGCAAAAGACAGAGTAAGTTTTCATTTTCTTGTTGGGGTTAATCAATTGTGCATTTTATCATTAGACAAAAAGTTTACATTCAAGTGCAAGCGATTTAACAATTTATTTTGAGTCCGTGGCCCAATAATTATATGACATAAACCTTTGCATGCACTCAGTGACCCACAGTAAGTTTCATGTAACAATCAATAATTATTGGGGGAATGCTGTGAGGTCATTGTCTTGGCATTACACTGGTGAATGAATACTATACATTTAGGACTGAGAGCTAGAAGGCACCTAGAAAATCTCAGGTTAATGCATTTGATACTCAGACAAGAAATAATTAAGAAAAAACTAAATTTGATCTTAAATCAAAATAAACACTGCATACACACAATTGCCAAATTACCATGTGTTCACACTATTAGATTTATATAAAGAGAAAAAATTAAGAAATCTTTTTATCACCCCGGCATACAATGCAGGGGGGTATAGTCATCCTCTGGTCTGTACGTCGTTGTTTAGTTTCTGGAGCATGGCTTGAAAACCATGAAAGATGTTTCATGTAAACTTGGTACATGTATGAATCAGGGGCTGAAATGGTGCCTTTTTATTTATTTATTAGCCTTATAAGGTGGGGTATATGTAGCCAAACTCCATTTCCGAATTGCACCAGACCAAGGGAAGATGACTCCTGCTTTGAGATCAGGAACAAACATTCCATACCTATTTTATGTTTCTGTGTGGTGACTAGATGGAGCTTAGGTACTCAATAAATTTCCATCCCGAATCAGTTTAGATCAAAATAAAATAATCTTCTTTAGAACAGGTAGAAGAGATAATGGTACAGATGAAATATGATTCATCCTCATGATTTATTTTATTCTATTTATGGTGGGAGACCAAGCCAAATTGATGGCAAGTACATGTTGTTTAAACTATTAAACTATTTGACAGTATCTGGCACTGTATACAGTGTGTACTGTCATGTCTATTGTAGAATCTTTTGAGACATTTTTCTTTTATCCTTTATATACGATGACATGTGTTTCCATTTTATTTGTGTAGGGCACATGACTACTCAGACTTGGTTTGTATTGAGGCTGTGGTGCGAGACCTTAGTCGGGCATTACTGCAGGTGGCGAGAGGCCTGGAGCCTAAGTACCTGGGCGTACCTTTAGGTAATGTTCACATTACATATATCATGCTGATGCAGTTCATGCTTGATTTGAACATGATAAAAAAAAAGAATGACATCTCAGTGATTTTACAGAAGATAAATGTCGTAAGGGGATGTCTATGATTTCCATCTTGATAAGTCTAAGGACATTCTATTGTTACCAATTTTGAATATAATCTTAATGGCGTTTTGGATGATGATCAACATTGGGAACATTGCAGGTCTATATGGTTTAATAAAAAGATTTTTAATATCCTGAAGCTGAAGTTTTCAGTTACCTTATTGAACGAAACATCATTCTATTCAGTATATCTCTGTTAACATGGCTAATTGTGTAACTATGCACAGGTGAAAGCGATGAAGCAAAGAAGAAGCGATTGAAAGCAGAGAAGGAAGCTGCAGAGAAGCGAGCCAAGAGGAAAGACAAGGCAGAGGTTGACAGTGATGGTAAGAAGCAGTCAATTTTCATTATTCTCAAAAATTGAGTTTCAGAAGCAAGTCAGTAAATGAGATGCTTTTAGTGCAAAACAATGAACAGTAAACAAAGACTAAAATATTCAAATCTAGGAAATAAGGCTTTTATTCCTGAAATAACGACAAAGACATGCCACGTGAATGCATTATTTTTATCTTATATTAGCACATGTAGAAACATTAGACCAGTCAACACCAATAGTTGAAAGGTTTTTACTTCAATTACTTTTGGGTAGAGTCTTGATATGACAAAGTTTTAAACTTGTCCTATCTCACGCTATGCATTTCTCTTTCTTCTTTCGGTCCTAAGTGGAAACATGGCTGAAATAAAGTTAATTCACCTGTACATACCTCACATCGCCGTGGTCACCTCCCAGATTTGGGTCACGCACACTGCACGTTGGTTGACCTAGATGCACTGATCATGTGTCTATCCCTTGCAACTCGTTCTCTTGATAGGAAAAGTATATAAATATACAATTTATAATAAAATTTCTAAAATGTGTTGCAGATGAGGACAAAGATGATGTAAAGCAACAAAAGACCACCTATGAAAGATGGGAAGAGTCCTTGTTGTCAGTGACCAACCTGTCTCAAGTGTTCCTTTTCCTCTCTACACTGGACAAGAGTATCATCTGGTCCAAGTCTGCACTCCATGCTCGCTGTCGCATCTGTCGGCGGAAGGGCGATGGGGAGAAGATGCTGCTGTGCGATGGCTGTGATAGAGGCCATCACATGTATTGTCTGAAACCTCCAGTAGAGGTAAGGCCACTTACACAACTTTTTCTGTGACTGAAAAATAATTGTTGAATACTATTATCACTTTAACCCTCTTTACTGATATATACTTGTCTATAAAACAAGAGTAAATAAATTTCAATAAGGACCAATCGTTTGGTGAGGACCAATCAGATCATCATATAACGGAAGAAATCTATACACTAAACTACAAGTTACTGATCTTGAAGTATGTTTCTACTAACATTTTTCTGTCAGAAAATACAACTGTAGTGTCATGATTCTGTCAGAAAGTATTATTCAGTGACAGTACTACTCTCCCATCATTTTTCTGTGACAGCTCGATTATCATATATTTGGGGCTTTCAGAAAGTACCAACAGGTGACTGGTACTGTCCAAACTGTAAACCGAAGGAAGTGAAGCGCAGTCCTAGGAAAGATCGCAGAAAGACTTTTGAAGAAGAAGAGCAAGAAGTTGAGGAGGAAGAAAATGATGATGATGAGGAGGAAGAAGAAGAAGAGTAAGTAGTCTGAGTCATGGTTGTCTGCTGGACTGCTAGAAATGCAAACTGTTGATGTGAATGACCTTTAAGAAATTGTGTCTGGAGAGTCAACTTCTGTTCCAAATACTTGTCCTTTTTGTGTTCTCTATTTTGTCTTAAGGCATGAAAAAACTTTCTATTAGGATGTTTTTGTATGTTATGATGATGCCTTAGTGGCAAAGGCTTTTTCTCAGCTTAACATTAAATACCTTCTATATATTCATCTTAATAAATTGCTACCATCCCTTATGAAATCTATGTATTATATTTTTATAGCCAACAAGTCACTAATCAGGCATATGTTGTTCCTTATTTTACAGCTCTGATGCAGAGAGTGAGGAAGAGGAGGTGGAAGAAGAGGAAGAGGATGAGAATGAGAACCTGTGTGTGAAGTGTAACAAGCCAGGCATGTTGCTGTGTTGTGACAGCTGCCCTGGCTCATACCACCTCACCTGTGCAGACCCACCCCTCAAGAAGGTCCCCCGGGGCAAGTGGTTGTGTCAGGTCTGTCTGGGGGTGGACAAGCCTGGTGGCAAGATAAAGCTTGTGCACAAAAAGAAGAGTAAGAGACTTCTTCAATCCATTTTGTTTTTGTGTAGTGACAACAGTATTGAGTAACTGCAGTGGTATAGATATTTGTTGTGCTTGTTCTCTTGAGCAAGTCTGAATGTGTGCCTTTGATACTTTCCTTTAAAATAATGGATTCCCAACACTTCTTTCATGCAAAATAAAACTTGGACGCGACGTTAAACCCCATTTCACCTCACCTCATGCAAAATAATGCATTACATATTTAAGTGGTGAATAGTAAGACATTGAAAGAAGCTTCATCTCAGAGTTTAACTACTCATGAACTGTTGTGGGGAGTCTGCGGAAGAGAAAGTCCTCAATCCCCCTATGCTTGTTGTAAGAGCTGACTAATGATGATTGGGTGGTGCAATGCCCAGGTCAAACTCTGGACGGACCCCTGATGACTGACTTGCATAAAACAACATTCACTCTTCTTAGGGAAGTATCAACAGTGGAGATTCTAAATTGAGTTTTAATTGAAGTGTTTAATCTCAAATAGAGTTTAATTGATATGATTTGTTATAAAGATTCCAGTAGCAGTAGCAAGAAGACAACTCCAGGCAGAGGCACCCCAAACTCTAGCCGCCCAAGCTCTCGTAGAGGCAGCCCCAGGGACAGCCCTGTCCCCACCAAACCCCGACGCAGCCACCCTGTGTCTGAAGAAAAGCCTAAGATGCAGAAGAAAACATCTACCTCACGACTCTCTCAGGATGCTTATGCAGGTACGCTGTGTTTTACTACATGCTAGATTGGCCACGTGATTTTGATTATCTATTGTTAGAGTCTCATTTCTAAGATTCCCAATCCGTATGAAGCAGGGGTCCGGAAAATTTAAAATCCCAATCGGACATTTGCATTTAGGCCACGCCCCATTCAAAAAGCGTATTTTAGTACGACTTTTCACACACATTACAAGTTTACGTATTCATAATATGATGAATTATTAATTGTTTCAATTTAAATTGTTTAATTCACCGGACAATTAATAACAAATAATATCATTTTAGATTTACATGGAAAACATACGTTTGTTTCTGTTATAATAACGATCTGTTAACGTAGTGAACGGTCTAATTAATATTCATGAGTTATATTCATGAGTCTGCTCAAGTGTACGTGTTGTAACATTTGGATCGAGACTATTATCCCATATTTGGTTATCACGTGACCTCACAGGAAAAGTGTTTTTTTTAAACTAAAGATTTTTTTAAAAACAAGACAGATAATTTAATCACAAATACTAAAATATCGTTGATAGCAATAGCTATTTGAATACTTTTTTCATCTTTACTTAATTATTGACCATAAAAAATTGGATATCGATCGTCCGAGAAAGCAAAATGGCGGTCAATCAAGATTCAATATACGACTAGCTACTGAAAACAATAAAATCTGCAAATCCTCATTGTATGTCAACCAAGTGAAAGTCGTTAGCCACGACTTACAAAATGATCATCCAGACTTTGGGGGTTTGGCAGATCCGCTTGACTGGCTGTCGTCACGCTTTCGCTTCTTGTCCGAGGTTACGTATCGTAGCATTGTGAGGATAATGAGGTACATCGATGATGCAAGGTATTAATGAACAGTTGTAAACACCTTTCACTCAAATTAACAAGATGTTCTCAGTAATTAATCCTCGATTAATCAGTGTCAACTCAGTTTATTGCCTATTACAGTGATTGACCGATTGGACTATCATGTAGGTACGATGTATTTACAGCAATCAAAACAAACAAAGCTTGTCAGTGTAGATAATCTTCATTGTGTTACAACTGCAGACAGAAACTGCTCACTCCTAACTGTTGATCATGTCCGGTCAAAATTTAAGAATGTCCGGACAATACTTTTTAAAATGTCCGGTTAGCAATATTTTAAAACGGACATTTGAGATTCCCAATCGGACATGTCCGGCGCATATGACGGTTTCCGGACCCCTGGTATGAAGTATCGGAGTCTTATAGTTAGTGTACTTCAACTCGTGTCAGAGTCAGGATGGACTTTTGTGTGAATAACTTACTCTTTTGACTTTTCAGATATGGATGGTTCTCCTAAACACTATGTCAGCAGTTACCGTGGTAACAGTACAGTTCAACAGATGAAACATCTGGAAGACATTGTGCATGATCTGGCCAAGATGGATGACGCATGGCCATTCCTGAAACCAGTCAGCAAGAAAATGGTAATACGCTGTGGACAAACACTGTTTCAAATAATATTATACCAGAGGGCAGCATTAGAAACTGGTGCTACTCTTGTAACTATAATCAAAATCTCAAAGTATAAGGTTACTAACATTTGGAAGGTTTTCCTATGAACACATCCTTATGACTGTGTTATATGTTAGTATCTGATGCAGGAGGAGCTTAACAATGTTAGAACTGTGGGGTGGGTCTACCTCTCCTTTCTGCTGTATTGACTCTTTATGAGCATCAATGTATTCTGAAGGACATTTTGCAATATTTTTCCTCAACCCCTCAATTTCTCACTCACAGATGTCTTTTGGGATCTTACAATTTCTTGCATTTTTAGGCAAGGGAGACAATCTATTCAATGTGTGTGTGTTCTTTGTTTAATAATGCAGTCAGCAATATTTCAGCAGAACATTGCTGATCTTAACAAAATCGCTCTATTTCCAATGATGTGTTTGTGACATTGTTTGTAATTATTTCTTCCAGGTTCCAGACTATTATGATGTTATAGATAAACCCATGGATTTTTCCACCATACGAAACAGAATCAACAAGTTTGTCTACAAAAAACCTGCAGACCTCATAGCTGATGTTCGACAGATATTTTTCAACTGCATCGAGTACAACAATAGAAAAACACCAGAGTACAAGTGTGGCGCAGGTCTAAGTAAATTATTTGAATCCAAAATTCGGGACTTTGAGATGGAGAATGATGAAAGTTCACCACCACCGACCAAAAAGTCTAAGAAGTAGCAAGCACAAGGACAATGCATCATCTCTCTAGGGAGAGCTTTTACTGAGTTATTTCAAGTGCTGCATTTGTTATCTGTAGTTATTCTGTTGTAGGAAATATTGTTCACATCTAAATGATATATTTTCATGACCTGTTCTAATAATGATGGCATCGAAGACTTTTGTAACTGTTTATCTTGTACATATATTCCCGTCTCCGCTGAATGTACATAATGGGGCTTGTCCTAAACACGAACCTTTCAATTTCATGTTAACTGCATTCTGGTGATGCAAAGATACACTCTTTATGATTCCATGCATGTTTCAGTTTCTCTGCATGTTATGCAGTGGTCCAAGGATATTATGTATTACGTATCTTGTCCATCACCTGATTGATCCCAACAGCCGAAGAGCCAGGTTTGATTCCTTGCATTGGTACAATGTGTTAAACCTATTTCTCGTGTCCCCGTTGTGATATTGCTGGAATATTGCTAAAAGTTGCGTAAAACCATACTCACTCACTCTCATTATTATTGCACAAATACTTTTTGAAAGGAGGTAACTTTCCAGCATCAGCTCATTGATATCTGTATTGCATCGTGATCCTACTCTTGAGATTTCTATCATATCATGGCTTAGTACATCATTACAGACCTAGTCAATGATTTACTTCTCAATGATCTGTACTTGTTTCGTGAAATGTTGATTATGAATAACAATTTAACCCAATCTTTATCAGATATCAGTATATCAAAAATAAGCTTTTATTTGAATTGTGTTTTATGCAATTTGGACCTGTACTAGAATAAAAATTCATCTCCCTTAACAAACTGCAAACAATTAGGTAATTCTGCTGTCTTGATTTTATTTGATTTGGGAATATCAATTTTTAAACAAAAGAGGAAAGGGAACAAGAACATAAGATACAGGTATTTGATAGGCATTTAGAAGTTTTATGGATAACAACTTCTTTATCGTTTGGGATGATGTTTCTGGTTTTCATCTTGCCATGTGTATATTAACTCCAATACGCATACTCAGTATTCAGCTGATGAGGAGACAAGAATTAGCCCTGAAACATCATAACAACAACAACGTTTTATCGATAAAACGTTGTATGTCATCATATTAAAATATTGTTGCCATTGTGTCATAAACTATCGCTGTAATGTCACAATTTTGTGTGCAACAATTAAAGAATGCCTCAAGATCCATAACTAGAGTTGAGATGACGGTTTCAGATTAATGACATGTTGGTCAGCTTAAACATTTGTCGTTATGCTACCTAATAAATGCTTGAAATTCTGTCTTTGGTTAAAATATTTTTTCTCGTCTTTGTGTAAATGTCAGTGCATGTCTCATTTACTTGTATATGTTGTATTCATTCCATTATTTAGTCATTTATTTATTTGACATTCACAAACAACACTATTTGCTAGTAAGTATGTAACATATTTTAATAGTTAGCAATATTTTCAGGTATGTCACAGTATTTTTCTATATCTCAAGTCAATCCATTTATAGACTGTAACAGAGTTGTAACAAACAATTTAACTTGATTCATAAATATACAGTAGAGCGAACTATATAGGCAGTGTTTTTACAAAGCAGTACTTACAACTGCTTTGTTCAAGTGTAAGACTGCAGCTAAAGGCTCTGATTCAATAGGCAGTCATCATTTGGGTCACTTGTAGTGCAGTTATTCCTGGATAATGTACTCCAACAAATAGACTTGTTCCACCACAGATACCTAAAGATACACCTTTGACGTGGGTACTGGGGCTTTGGGTGCTTCTATATGTACATAGATACGCTATCCTTATCTTACGTATTTGCTCTAACACTGAGGACATATCAGGATTATAAGGAACTGTTATGAGATCATCAAGGCTTGACTACGCCTGCCCTTTCCTCGTGCAGCTATTGTTTTAAGTCCTTATAAAGTGCTGTCACGAGTTCTCTGTACTTAGAGGGGCGGTTGGGTAGCCTAGTGGTAAAGCGTTTGCTCGTCACGCCGAAGACCTGGGTTCCATTCCCGACATGGGTACAATGTGTGAAGCCCATTTCTGGTGTCCCCTGCGGTGATATTGCTGGAATATTGCTAAAAGCGGTGTAAAACCATACTCACTCACACACTCTCTGTACTTAGAACGTATCAAGAAACTACCATTGGAACTGATAAACAACAACTGTTTTCTGTTTAAATGTAATCATTAAATATTTTGCATGTGTTGTAAGTATGGAATGTCAGTGTTAGCTTTTCCAAGTGGAGTTTGCACACATATGATGTGTATGTATATTTGAATTGTAGGTTTGTTTATACGTAGTCCCATCTTTATCATTGTTCTTGGTTTATACATGTGGGTGCAATGCAAAACTGGGGTATACATCATGATTCTTAACCGACTGTAAAACAAGTTAATGTACACTTACTGAATGTCAATAAGTCATGTATGAACTATTGCTGGTATTACATACAATGAAACACTTTCCAGAACTTTTCATAACAAATTGAATAATGTCAGAGGGTTCAAGGGAAACGTTAATTTTATTCATGTAACCATTTGATTTTCTAAATTTGTAAAAATAAATATGAATGAGATGGTCTTACTTAAAGTTTTGTGATCATGCATGTTGTAATGTTACTGCAAGATTTGGTGCATTTTGTTTAAATCTATCACTAGGATATAGAGCAGAGAAAAACAAACCGATCAAAAGCTGTCTCTTTTACAGTAATCTATCGTGTTGTTCTGAAGGTGCATGGTTCAAGCAGCTCATCTGCATTTGTGATCCAATAGATAGATGAGAAGGTGGTTCTTTGTGTAACACAAGGAGAGCTCCTGGGGGAGTCCGGGTGGGAATAGATCCCCTGTATCTCAAGCTTGTTAGAGGGTGATGGATGATGCGACTGTGACTTGTGCATGTCACCGGACCAGATGGTACGGATTGTTGCTCATGGTTATTTTCATGACAGAGCTGGGATACTGCGGACTGCAGCTTTTCAAGAACATTCACCATTTGCCTACTCAACACGAAGAGTGTTATCCCAAAATACATGATTTGAAATGTGAAGACTGATTTGACTGATCTATGTCAAGTTCTTTATTCTATTCATGCAACGTTTCAGTACAGATGGTAGTACCTTTAACATGCAAGCACTTCACATTGAAGAATATTGAAGTTAAAATCCATGAGTCCATTCTGTCTTCATTAAGTACAGCTTCTAAAATTCCACTTAAAGGTTTGACTTGTGTAATTTTGTTTTCTTCTTCATTTTGTTTCTTGCTCGTTCATTTGTTATCTCCTGTTGATAGATAAAATTTATTCACACGGGTCTGGTGGCACACCACATCAGCATCTGTCCTTATGCTATCATATATTTGTAGATAGTGGTTATAAACTGTAGTTTCACGGTCTTGCCTTTATGTGCCACAGTGTCGTTTACTCCCTGGAGTCAATACATTGCACCTTTTATCTCAGGATTTAAAGAGATCTATTATCTATTCTTTGTTGACAAGATGGTGGAAGGGGTAGGTAATGGACCCCATAGCACTAATGCATTGTGTACAACTTTGTAGTTTGTTGATGTTTTAAGTCCTCGATTCATTCTTTATTTCAGGAATATAGAGCATGATAACATGATGTGTTGTCATGAGATAATTAACATTGTCATAAAACAAATACAGAGGACTAGTTACCGGTACTTTGTTTCTTTACGGGGCACTTACTGTGCATATCATATAATTTTGGGAGTGTACTGAAGGTATTTCGTTACCTCCCTTTATTGGGACTTTGAAAACATAATTCTTTAAATTGAATAACATTGATTATTATTGATCAAGTTTAACAAACTAAGAAGAATCAGCTAAAAATCAATCACTGGATTGTCTGGTTCAGATTTGATTATTCACAGGCCACCGTCATATAGCTGGAATATTGCTGAGTGCGGCATTAAACAACAGACAAATATTTATGGGAAGGTAGGCATATATTTCTGTGCATTAATCAAGGATTTATGGTGGCAGAATGGATTGGACCTCCATGATGAAATGTTTTTTTTCATCAAGCATATTCATTAACAGTGTTTGAATTTGAGGGGGGTCCTGAGACTCCTTAAGATTGGCTGCTATAATATTCGAGTCTAGGAATGCCCAAAATGTTTAATTTTTAACATTGAGGTTATGACAAGAACCCCTTTTGATGTTTAGACTTAATTTCAACCTTTAATAATCATGTTCATACATGATATTTTTTGCTTGCATACAGGGGTAGTGATTGAAATAAATTGGACTCCTTTTTATTTGTGCTTATATATGCGTTGGTGAATGCATTTAAAACTATCAATTCCTGTTGTGAGGGTTTTTTTTCCTTTGGGATCAATGTTATACAAACAAAAAAATACTTTGAGAAAAGCTTGGACACAGTTGTAGGTTTTCCTCGCCCATTTCAGTTTAAATAAATATTAGTTTCAGGATACTTATTGAAAATATATCGTAATGTTATGATGCAAATTTATTTATTAGACTGTTTCCCTCATCCTGTAGTGTTTGGAGGCTTGGTGGTGTGTGAGACAAGAGCTTGATGGATGTGCACGATGCGGCTATGGTTTATGCTGTCAAGTTGACAGGCATGGGCATTTTCACTTAATAAACATGCCTCTATTAACTGACGTCGTGTTATTTGTTCAACTTTTGCAATTTATTCAGATGACAATCCCTGTGGAGAATCCAGGATGGAATTGGTCCCTAGCAACCTTTGCTGATGATAAAAGCCAATTTATGGATCTGATGGTTAGGCTTTGTGACTTGGTTGATTGCATGTCATTTAATCTCTTAGCCTGGATAGATGCTCATAATATCCATCACTGGATTGCCTGTCCTTTATTTAAGTGATTTACAGGTCATATAGCTGGAATATTGCTGAGTGCAGTGTTAAACAACAACAAAAACGACAAAGAAAGCAAACAATTAGAAAACAATTTGAAAATAATTTCAGGAAAGTGCTGATTTCTGAACCAATATGTGTCAACTAGTATGAATTCGGACTGCCTCTGTGGTCTGGGGTTCTATCGACGTTAAAAGATGGAACTGTGTGACGCTTTACATTAAAGGTCTGTTCGGCTCCGAGTCAGTATGCTGTGACTACGTGGGGTATTATGTTAAACTGCAGCATGGTATCTCAGTTGGTTATAGCTCTATGAAATCGGCATTAGTCTGGACAAGCAACCTGACAGACATACACATGTGCATGCAAGTGGCTATGTAAGTGCAAGTGCAATGATCATGGACGTGACACTAAGCTCTGTTTCACCTCACCTAATATGACTTTGGAACAGTGATGGTGGGTGCTCTGGTGTCTAGATAAATAACGCTGCACATGGCTAGTTTTTCTTATTCTGTTCATCTTTATCAGAGACAACCTCCCGGGAAGCAGAAGGTCTGGGGTATGATTCCCGGCCGCATCATACCAAAAGACGTTAAATGATGGCACTTGTTACCCTGTCTGATGCTCGGCATAAATGGACTGAAACAAGGACTGGTAGGCTCGGAGTCAGTATACTGTGTTTGAGTGGGTTATTCATGTTAAATTATGACATGGTATCTCGGTGAGCTAGCGCTATAAGACCACCATTAGTCTGGACTAGTACAAGCAGCCACACACTTACGCATGTGCAGACCCGTGAAGATTCCAGGGTAGAATAGGTCTTCAGCAACCAATGCTTGCCATAAAAGGCGACTATGCTTGTCGTAAGAGGCGATTAACGGGATCTGGTGGTCAGGCTCTCTGACTTGGTTGATGCATGTCATCGATCCCAATTGTGTGGATCGATGCTCAGATATTAATCACTGGATTGTCTGGTCCAGACTCGATTATTTACAGACCGCCGTCATATAGCTGGAATATTGCTGAGTGCGGTGTAAAACAACAAACCAACCAAACCAACGCTATGACCCCTGAATCACATGACTGGATAGTAGAAGTGCAATGATCTTGGACGTGATGCTGAACCTTTTTTCATCTCACCTAATATGAGTTCAGAACTGATGATGGGTGTTCGGTGTCAAGATAAATAACACTGCACGTGACTACTTTTTCTTATGTTCATCTTACCAGAAGAGAGTGGCAAGGGCACTACAAAGAAAGCAAAGACAAATATAAACATTGAAGATAATTTTATTGTTAAACAATACAGTACTTCCTCAAATTGAAAAATAATTGTTCTCACAATGTATATATAAATAGATGTTCCTGCAAAGTGCTGAAAATTGCTCTTTCATACCTTTGACAATGATGAAAAAATCTAATATCTGCATATCATGAATGCATAACTACTGAGCAAACAAACTTTGCATTGTACTTATAAACTGCATGCAAGTGACCCTACTGCCCAACATGAGATGCCTTGGGATCAATAGCAACAGTGAGAGCACAACATGAATGTCTCGCCAACAATACATGAACAACTGCATATTATTTTCAGTGTCCTTAAACATTTCCCCATGAGTACTTCCTGGATCTGTTTACACTGTGTTCCTCATCACGTGTCACTACATGGTATACAGTGTAGTAGTGGTGTGCATCTATTTTACATCTCGTAAAGAAATGAGCCTTGCTCTGCACGTGAATTTTGTACAAACCCTATTGTTGAAGCATTGTGTGGAGTTGAGTGAGTGTGTTTGATTTTATGCCGCTTTTAGCAATATTCCAGCAATATCATGGCGGGGGACACCAGAAATGGGCTTCACACATTGCACCTATGTCGCAAATCGAACCCGGATCTTCCGCATTGATAACCATAAGTCTGGAGCATGTTTCACAAGAAATTATTTAGACATGAGAATTTTCCTCGGATATGTGGAATTCTAGGATTTTTCCTCTCAGAATGATGTAAAATGCACATATTTTAATCTTGTTTTTTAAGTTTTCGGAGGGGCACATGCCCCCCAAACCCCCTAGATTGGCCATGTTCCTCCTAAAACCAGTTTTTCAGTTCTCATGTCTGTATTACTGTTTGTGAGGTGCTCACTGGTTTCTCTTCTTTACCAGGCTGTGGCTTGATTTTGTTGGTCAAATAGTGACTACACTGCAAACTGTCCATATATATTCACTGGTGATGGAGCAACGTAGTGTATACCAACCCATGAAGCATTGATTTTTTTGCCATACTGGTCACCTAATGTTTTTACTTGTGAACTAGTACTACCACGTACCACTGATGTTGTGCCGTATTTACCCTCTTGCAAGTGATCATACATCCACGCTATGATAGAGTATTGCAACTGTAGAAGCGATACATTTCCGAGTCCTGTGACTGGATTCAAATCATGGACCTCCTGCTTCAATGTCGGATGCCTTGTTCACATCACCAAAGAGGTTGACCATGACCTAGTAGGCCTCAATGTCGGATGCCTTGTTGACATGACCAAAGAGGTTGACCATGACCTAGTAGGCCTCAATGTCGGATGCCTTGTTGACATGACCAAAGAGGTTGACCTAGTAGGCCTCAATGTCGGAAGTCTTGTTCACATGACCAAAGAGGTTGACCATGACTTAGTAGGCCTCAATGTTGGATGCCTTGTTCATATGACCAAAGAGGTTGACCATGACCTAGTAGGCCTCAATGTCGGATGCCTTGTTGACATGACCAAAGAGGTTGACCATGACCTAGAAGGCCTCAATGTCGGATGTCTTGTTCACATGACCAAAGAGGTTGACCATGACCTAGTAGGCCTCAATGTTGGATGCCTTGTTCATATGACCAAAGAGGTTGACCATGACCTAGTAGGCCTCAATGTCGGATGCCTTGTTCACATGACCAAAGAGGTTGACCATGACCTAGTAGGCCTCAATGTCGGATGCCTTGTTCACATGACCAAAGAGGTTGACCATGACCTAGTAGGCCTCAATGTCGGATGCCTTGTTCACATGACCAAAGAGGTTGACCTAGTAGGCCTCAATGTCGGATGCCTTGTTCACATGACCAAAGAGGTTGACCTAGTAGGCCTCAATGTCGGATGCCTTGTTCACATGACCAAAGAGGTTGACCATGACCTAGTAGGCCTCAATGTCGGATGCCTTGTTCATATGACCAAAGAGGTTGACCATGACCTAGTAGGCCTCAATGTCGGATGCCTTGTTCTCATGACCAAAGAGGTTGACCTAGTAGGCCTCAATGTCGGATGCCTTGTTCACATGACCAAAGAGGTTGACCATGACCTAGTAGGGCCTCAATGTCGGATGCCTTGTTCACATGACCAAAGAGGTTGACCATGACCTAGTAGGCCTCAATGTCGGATGCCTTGTTCACATGACCAAAGAGGTTGACCATGACCTAGTAGGCCTCAATGTCGGATGCCTTGTTCACATGACCAAAGAGGTTGACCATGACCTAGTAGGCCTCAATGTCGGATGCCTTGTTCACATGACCAAAGAGGTTGACCATGACCTAGTAGGCCTCAATGTTGGATGCCTTGTTCCCATGACCAAAGAGGTTGACCTAGTAGGCCTCAATGTCGGATGCCTTGTTCACATGACCAAAGAGGTTGACCATGACCTAGTAGGCCTCAATGTCGGATGCCTTGTTGACATGACCAAAGAGGTTGACCATGACCTAGTAGGCCTCAATGTCGGATGCCTTGTTCACATGACCAAAGAGGTTGACCATGACCTAGTAGGCCTCAATGTCGGATGCCTTGTTCACATGACCAAAGAGGTTGACCATGACCTAGTAGGCCTCAATGTCGGATGCCTTGTTCACATGACCAAAGAGGTTGACCATGACCTAGTAGGCCTCAATGTCGGATGCCTTGTTCACAAGACCAAAGAGGTTGACCATGACCTAGTAGGCAAGCTGACACGGTGAGGATGTCATGTGTGGGATGATACCACACCCTGCTACCTAATGATCTGGAGTTGCAGATAGCCTTCATTTTAAGTGATTCATCTGGGGCAGAACAATGCTAAGGCGAAAATGCATTAATACTGTACATGTTGGCAAACTCTGCTAACACCGGAAGCACTCGTAAAATCGTGAACAGCAAAAGAAGGCATTTGGAAAATGATCTAAAAAACTTTTAAATGTAATAAGTAAATAGGACATTTGTGATTCAAAGAACAAGGAATGATACAGACCCTCCTGGGTCCACTAGATCTTTGCAATTTAATAAATGTATGCACGTCTTGTAAAAATTGTTATGAAAATTAAATGGATTCATGAGAATGAGAATTTGACTTTGTTCTTTTCATCACTTTAATGTTGTAGATTATTTTTTTAAATAATCAAAAGACCTTGGGAAAAGAGTAAAAGCAAATGATGTCAAATTCATCTTGGGGTCACAGATTATCTGATTTTATTCTCCAGAATTTCTAAAAATCTCAACTCATGTCAGGAAGAAATGTACCTGATCATGTAAAAATTCCAAAACATGCTAGTAACAGAAAGAAAAAAAGGCTAGTATCCTATAACTTTCATAATAATTGTTTACTTAAAGTTTTCCACAACTTTCAAATATGTGCCGTTTCCAGTGGGGACTTTTCATACGTGTACCTTTAAATAAATAAATGAGCAAATCAACAATAACAGACAGTGTCAAGTTTACCAGTCAACAATACAAACACAAGGAACATTCATGGGACTAGTTCCATGAACCATCAAGATCACTGTAACTCCCATAATTACAGAGAGTATAGAAAAGTACATCACTAGCTGAACAGGTTGGGATATATTCAACAAACACTGCTGTCTCAGCATCATGTAGGATGAGGAAAACGTGATGAGAGCCAGGCCGAGGTGCGAGGAAGAGGGCTTGTATTGGCACTGCTTTCCATTACTCGAGCTACAGGGAGGATGCTGCATCTGTCACATCATCTTGAAAACATCCCTGAATATTCACAGTAACTTAATTGCTGCCTTTGGAATCTGACTGGCTGCCCTCAATGTAAACCAACTTGCTATATTTCCCCAGGAATCTTTCTATGACATGGCCACAGGCATGACGGCTCCAAATTAGAGTCCTCATCAGGGAATTATTGAACATTTCTACCACAAGTTTGCCACCAATCAAAGGCTTGCCATGCATATGAATCCAATGTGTAAATGCATCCTATAATTCATGTCTGAGAATCATCATTTCCTAAGCCTTTTTTGTTAGTTAAATAAAAAGAAACAAGAAGAAAGTGACATTTGACAAATCGTTAAAGACCGATTTGACAATTTGGTGATGTCCAAGGAACAGGTACACTATACAAGTCAAAACTACAAGGACAGACCAATGTTTCCTTGCATTACAGATACTTTGGACCAAATTTGCTGGATGGAGGAGGAAGCAGTCATCCAATGAAATTATTTACTGCCACTGAGAAATCAATCCATAATTTATTAATATCAGATCTTAGTTTTTGCTGCCGCTAAACAAAGATCTGAGGACATCACATTATGTGTCACGTCAGAACAACCTTTCATCCGAACAATTGGAGCGTCGCTTACCAGATCAGGCAAGTGACAGTCGAGTGTGTTTTCTAATCATGCAACCTTGAAAACTTTAACATGGGGTATTCCGAACGACAGTTACCGGCTTTAAAAGTGACTGTCGTCTATCTCACTTCAACTGGATAAACATTTGAATGGAAGACATTTTGCATAGCTTGTGGGAAACATAGCAATACAATCTTGGCCATCTATTAGACATTCCAGAATGTTCTTTTGCTTAGTTTTCAAATTTTGAATCAAGAACTTTGTCAAAATACTTTCAAAGCCTAGTCGCCCCTTTGAAACTAGTGCTGTAAAACTCGAGAAAACTGCTTTCTGATGGGCTAATGTCAACTTCATGTTTGTCATTTCACTGGACAAGTTCATGAAAGGTCATTCTGACGTGACCCCTTATGGGATGTCCTTAGATCGCATTGTTCAGTTTTAGCGAGATCCAAGATATGATTTAAATAAGACAGAATTTTAGTGTTGTTGGTGAATTATTAATCCAAGAATTATAAAAAAAGATTCCTATTACATTATAAATCAGTTCGGCAGATCCATAATACAAGAAGAAAAAAATATGGTCTGACCCTAATGGAAAATGCATTCAGTGATATATTACAAGTCTGAAGGACATAACCACACAATCATGTCTGGAAGATTAGAAGAAATTGGATCATTTTGAACATCACATATTTCTTAATGTAAATATTACTCAAAGAACAATCCTATAACACACATTGTCAAGGTAATAAAACATCAACACCATTAAGGCTGGAAAATATCTTGTATTTTACACTTGTGAAAATATTTGTGATATAATATGAAATACAAAGAAGTGACAACACTGATGAAAGTATAATATTACCCATAGGTGCAGTAGATCTCACTGAGCAATATAATGTTTGCTTCATGTGGACTGGCTAATTGGTACCAGTTGTTCTATTGTGTTCAAACAGGTCCATAGCAACGTGATGTCATAGAACACATTGTTGCAAATAGTTAAAGATGGCATCAGCCATTGTTTCTCATGTCACAAATGGGGTTGTTTTCCAACAATTGACTAAGTGTGCAGCAGGCTCAACTTGAGATCAGGAAGCCGATACAGTTCGACAAAAGGTTATCAGTACATAAAGAATAACTTGCTCACAACTTGGATTTACGGATTATGTGTCTTGTGAATAATAATATTGAAAGCTCCTTGTCAAGGTTCGAAACTTACAGAACAGTCCATAATTCCTCGTAGCTTGTAGGTTATTCTCTAAATCTTTGGTCTCTAATATTATTGTTGATACAAACACGTCAATGAACCAATGACCAGCAGATCCTGACATGTCTAAGGGATGCAACTCTGAATGACAAATTGTTGCCCTTAGATCACTTGGTCAACAATGTCCAACCTGTAAGAGGAAGGGGGTATGAAATGAATGCTTCCTGATCCTTGTTGTGACCAGCACCTACTTAATACAGTGTGTGATTATTATCATATTGGGCTAAAAAAATTATTAGTCTTGGTTCTTAGGCACCACCCACATCATCAAGTTTTCTGCATTCGTATTTAAGAAAGCCCCCCCAAATCCTTAAATATTCCAAGTCCAACGGGAGTCAAATACAGTATTCCAGTATTTTACTCATCAAGAGTGAGTGAGTATGGTTTTACGCCGCTTTTAGCAATATTCCAGCAATATCACGGCGGGGGACACCAGAAATGGGCTTCACACATTTTACCCGGGTCTTCGGCGTGACGAGCGAACACTTTAACCACGAGGCTACCCGACCGCCCCTACACATCAAGAACTACATTAATGTAGTGAGGCCCTTTCCCAGCATGATTGTACACAAATGTTTATTTGGTTACACAACTGCTTTTTGGTTACATACTAGTTTGAACAATCCCCCCCCCCCCAAAAAAAAGAAAAGAAGACACCGCCAGCATTACATTTTCAAAAAACATTGCCTGAGAACCAATTCTTTTATTTTTTTATGCCTTAATATTTTTAAACATGAGAATGTTTCGGCAGTCACAAGGTAAAGTGTTAATTTCTGATGCTGAAAACCGACAAGGAAATTTTACTATGATATTGTAGGATAAAGATAATACTAGACATTATGCTGGAGTGGTGATGCTTGACAAACACATGACTGACAAATAGGAACACCTGACTTCTTCATGTTATTGATGTATCCACCATCCTCATGCAAAACACACAGAAGACACTGGTAATGGGAGTAAAACTACTGGTTGTCCAATTTTATTGTAGCTTACTAACTTTTATCAAATTCTTACTTCTAGGACAAAGGTAAATACTGTAATTCTGGAAAGTTCTGCACCCTGAAAATATTGCCAGAGACTAACAATTGTCTCAAATGCATCTCGAAAGTTTTTGTCACTCTGTTGATGAGATTACCAAAGATCAAAGCTACTTTTGCACGTTTTTTGAGAAGGCAGCGAATGATGAAAAGTTAATTCAGTGTCAGTTTTGTTTTGTCTATACATGCATGTGCTGTTGTTGTTGACATGGAAGGATGAAGTTGCATGTTTATCTAACAGTAGACACTGAGGACAATATGTCATCAAGGAAACAGGATGTTGTTTGGTTGGTTTGTTGTTTAACGCCGCACTCAGCAATATTCCAGCTATATGGCTGCAGTCTGTAAATAATCGAGTCTAGACCAGACAATCCAGTGTTTAATATCATGAGCATCAATCCCCGCAATTGTGATCGATGACATGCATCAACCAAGTCATCGAGTCTGACCACCCGATCCCGTTAGTCGCCTTTTACGACAAGCATAGTCGCCTTTTACGGCAAGCATGGGTTGCTGAAGACCTATTCTAACCTGGAGTCTTCATGGGTCGAAACAGGATGTGAGGAATTATGTATGTAATCATGTACTGGCTGGTTTATAGTGTGTGGACAATGGTGGAATTGACCAAAAGAAATATATGCATCATTACGTTCTTTGATTCTTGTTCGTCTGCAAAAATAACTGCATCATGAAACTATTGCATCTCTTGCAGTACTTTCCTCCTCCCAAAACTTTCCAGATTTACAGTATTAAAATGAATTAATGATAAACATGACATACATTATGAGTGACTAGGCACAATTCTTTGTAATAAAACATTGCATTGGGAATTCATTTTTTTAAACACAGCATCAGTAACACATGTGTGGATGTAGGGCTGGGACAGGAAGCAAATTGATACCTGGATATGCTGATATTACTAATACCCGACCCGGATACCCGTGATCAAAGTAAGTTGACAGCTACTTCACCTTACAAGAGTCAATCAATGCATCGGTCAGCCAAACAAGCAGCGTTTCCTCATCGATCCATCTACACAATGTGACATAAAAAACAAAATGCAACTGATGTGCTGCATATTGAGTTTTAGAGGTGGCAACACGCTAATGTAGAGGCATTTCTATTACAAGTTATCATTAATAAAATACACAGTGACATTACACAGTACATGCTGAAGGAAGACGCATAAGATACAACAACAGTGAGTGAGTGAGTATGGCTTTACGCTGCTTTAAGCAATAATCTGGCAACATCATGGCGGGGGAAACCAGAAATGGGCTTCATACAATGTACCCATGTGGCTAATCGAACCTGGGTCTGACGAGTGAACGCATAACCACTAGGCTACCACACCGCCCCTTACATTACAACAATAGTAAAATATACTATATTGGTCTCAGAGCTGCAGCCTAATGATGAAGCCATGTATGCTCTAGTGAGGTCACTGATTGAATAAATCAATCACTACAGGTCCTTGAATCGGAAGTTTTAAAATTGTGCGTTAAATTTGATAAATATTGTTCTGAATGTTGATTTCGTAGTTATAACGTTACGTGACTACAGGTCGGGTAGTAACTTGTAGAACCGACCTCGTACTTGTGTCACCCGTCCCAGCCCTACTTGTGTGAATGTATTTTATTTGTTCTTCTTAAGACACATCAGATGATTTCATTTACCTGTGAACTTAACATCAACACTGCTAAGTAACATGCTTAAGTCAACAATAAGAAAAAAATTGGTTCAAACATTTACACTGTTCCAGAACACTGTAGCATTGATTAGTTGAAATACACGTCCCTTTTCCACAAAGCGATCATAACACTACGACTGTTAGACATCTATGTTAAGATATAGGAATAACTATCACCTTAGCGCTATGATCGCTTCGTATAGCAGCATACAAACTGAACTTTCAAACGTGACCTATCAAACAAGCTTATGGGCTGGAATGCCTATGAGAAATAGCAGCTCAACATGTTCAATCCCTATTATTCTGAAGAATGAATACTACAGAAAAATAGAAATATAAAGAAAAGAAGATGACGATATATCGTACAGTCATATCCAGAATAATAACCTTGATTGTTAATATTCATTTACTGCTCTTTGTTCAACCATTTGTTTGATCTCATATACCTGGACATATAATTATGTCCATAGAATCCGCCAATAAGAAATAACACTGATCTGGCCTCAACAAGAAATGCAATTCTGACATGTCACATACATTCCTGGGCCCATTCCACAAAGCAACTGTAGCGCTAAGATGATCATACCTCCCATACTTTAACATGCACTTACGACAATCACAGCGCTAAGATAGCTTTGTGAAACCCGGCCCTGCCCTTGTTTAAGAAGATAATCTCAGCCCTACAAATATTGATACTCCCATATTTTAATACAGACTTGTAGCACTAAGATTGCTTTCTGAAACAAGGATCTGGCAGCACACTCATTCACAAGCTTGGGGACCAACTATTTGTACTTTTTTAGCCATGATTGTTTATAGTGCAGGCTAATCTTGCCAACTCTTATGTACATCGCATATCTCATAAACACAGTCCTAAATGTAGGCATGGCCCACAAGATCACACTGCAATTTCATTACAATCAGCCCTTATACTGATAGAATACCTTTTTGCATGAAGATCTGACAACACCACCTCCATCGGAGGTAGCATTAGGTAAACTCTGACCAGCTTTTTGATTTCTGTATCTTGAAAATGACCAGCTATTTGATTTCTGTATCTTGAAAATGACCAGCTATCTGATTTCTGTATCTTGATAATAACCAGCTATCTGATTTCTGTATCTTGAAAATGACCAGCTATCTGATTTCTGTATCTTGAAAATGACCAGCTATTTGATTTCTGTATCTTGAAAATGACCAGCTATCTGATTTCTGTATCTTGAAAATGACCAGCTATTTGATTTCTGTATCTTGAAAATGACCAGCTATCTGATTTCTGTATCTTGAAAATGACCAGCTATCTGATTTCTGTATCTTGAAAATGACCAGCTATTTGATTTCTGTATCTTGAAAATGACCAGCTATCTGATTTCTGTATCTTGAAAATGACCAGCTATCTGATTTCTGTATCTTGAAAATGACCAGCTATCTGAATTCTGTATCTTGACAATGATTGAACATAATAAGGGCATCATCATCATATTGTTGAGCATATTTCATACACCTTTCATTTCGAACAAAAAGGGTTCACCTGACACGACTCCAATGGAGTGTTTGTCAGATCTTGAAGCAGAGGTATATCGGAGTAAGAGATCTGATTGTAATGAAATTGTACCATACTGCATTTTTTTTCTCCCCAATTCAGGAAGTCTCTGAGTGTGTTTGTTTGTTATTTAACGCCACACTCAGCACTATTCCAGCTATTTACCATGGCCTGTAAATAATCAAGTCTGGACCAGACAATCCAGCTACTGACATTCTGGGCAATGAACCATGCTGCAAGAGTACAATAACACGCCATCAACCAAGTCACTGAGTCTGACCACCCGGGGGCACGGGTGGCCCAGTCTTCTAAGGCGCCGCAATTCGCTGTTCAGAGTTGCGTCCTTTGGGCACGCCAGAAACCTATGATTGTGGGTTCGAATCCCGGTTCGCCCCGATTATGTTTCTAGGTTTGTCAGCACCATACCCGTGCTCATGGGTTTCACCGAAGTGGTAAACTTCTGAGACCTGCATCCCTTCGGGCTTTCCTCCCACATTAAGCTGACACGCCGTGATATAACTGGAATTCTGTTAAAAGCGGCATTAAACCCAACTCACTCACTCACTCACTGACCACCCACTTCTCACAACCAGCACAGGCTGCTGGGAACTAATTCTAATGGTGGAATCCCCATGGGGGACGAGGAAGTCTGTAACGTGTAACAGGATCAGTTTAAAAGTAAGCTTCTGATGATACTGTCAATGATAGCCCTTCACAAGTTTTTCCCACCAGTAGGTTGTTACAGAAATTAAATGCATGTATTATCATCCGATTAGTGTCATCTACGCTCAAACTGGCTGGTAGCAGCTCTCCATATTGATGCTACTGAGGCCGCAGCCGAAGACATCAAACTCCCAGCGGTTGAGTGTGTTGTGTTTGTGTTCATCTGACCCGAATATGCCATTGTATACACAGTTGAAGTCGTCCCAAGACCAGCTCGGGTTGGGACCTCGAGGTCGTGGGGCACACGTTCCCAATCTATACCAATGTCTACCTCATCCTCTGATATAAAATGCTCCTCGTCACTCTCCTCGGAAGTATTGCTGTCAGATATTGACTGAATCATGCTCTCATTTACTTCAAATGCACAGATTCTGAAATAGAGAAGATTGGACTCAATTCAAAAGGGCTGAAGTATGTTTCTGTGCAAAAACATTGTATAGACCATGATGGACAGGCAACAGAGTTTTTTATCAGTTACACGTGGCCAGGGTAGTCACCATTGGTCATAAAGGGATTCACAAAGGTTTATGTCAAACAATTAGATTTTGGGAGAAAACATCTAACCTAGTTTATCCATCATGTCTAGAGTTTGTCGTTTAATACTGCATTCAGCATTATTCCAGCCTTATGCATACAATGCCATGCATGAACCAACTTTTACAAAGTCAGGGAGCGTGACATCCTGATCCTTTAGTCGCCTTTTATGACAAGCATGGGTTGCTGAAGACCTATTCTACCCCAGATCTTTACGAGAGGGTCTTGAATTTGATTCGTCTTGGTTTAGCAAAGACTTGTGGACACCCTTGACTGGTGTTATTGCAAAAATAAATATTCTCTACCCCTAGCAAATTTGACAAAAGCAATAACATTGTTTCAAACTGAACTGGTCTGGAAAATACTAAATAATCAAGCAATTGATTTATAGTCTCAGTAAATGATATCAAAATATAAAATCTAGCCACTGAAAATCCTGGAAACCATACCTGCCGAAATCTGGACATCGCAACAGCATGACGACATTATGGAGTGTGTGCCTGGGTATAAGAACAGCTGGGTTGACGTTCTGAGAGAAACAGAGGTGAAGGACATTGTGATTGAGTCGAGCTACAGCACTGGTGAGCTGCCTCTCGGAGAGATCGGACAGACAGAACTCACTGTAGCACAGTCTCCGGGGGAGACACACATCCAGGATGTGGGCTATGACGGACACCAGCTGTGTAGTGTAACAGAGCGCGGCACTTATTGTGTGTCCAGGATTGCGATGTCCTGCCTCCTTCTCCGGAGCCGCACCATTCTCTTTGTTCTCGGACACTGAAATATCAATGTCTCAACTATAACATGGTATTTCTATTGGTTTCAAACCCTGTGAGTTTTTTTTGTTTGTTTGTTAGTTTGTTGTTTAAAGCCGCACTCAGCAATATTCCAGCTTAATGACGGCGGTCTGTAAATAATCAAGTCTGGACCAGACAATCCAGTGATTGACATCATGAGCTTCAATCCACCCTATTGGGATACAATGACATGTATCAACCAAGTCAGTGAGCCTGACCAACCGATCCTGATAGTCGCCTCATACGACAAACATAGTCGTCTTTTACGGCAAGCTTGAAGACCTTTTCAACCCTGGATATTCACAGAGGACAACAACTGGTTTATCTTTAAAGGAGCGCAAACAAATTTAGGCTGTGGCACAAAATTATAGTAAGGCGTTATGGCGCAACTTGAGAAAAACAAGAAAAAAGGCTTAGCATCATGGGATCCATATTTAGATTGGTCTGGAAACAAGAAACTCATTTTTTAGTTTAACCTAAGAATCTTATGATGCTGAAGGAAATACACAAGGCCATGGGAATACATGCAGGCCTCACTCACCCCACACATTGTAGGCTGAGTAGTCCCCATTTCCTGGCAGGGAGGGTTCCACGATCCTGTGTCCGGTGTCTCCGCCATTGTCTGTGTACACCCAATGCCCCCTGACAAATGTGGTCTGGCATGCCTCCTTCAAGGCACTCACAGTGCTCATAGCCAGGCTCTCCGTCTCACTGTAATAGCGACACAGTAAACAAATGTTTGCTTTCTCACTGCAATAGCAACACACAGTAAACAATAGTTCTCTGTCTCACTGCAATGGCAACACAGTATACAACTGTTCGCTTCCTCACTGCAATAGCGACACACAGTAAACAATAGTTCTCTGTCTCACTGCAATAGCAACACAGTAAACAATAGTTCTCTGTCTCACTGCAATAGCAACACAGTACACAATTGTTTGCTTCCTCACTGCAATAGCGACACACAGTAAACAATAGTTCTCTGTCTCACTGCAATAGCAACACAGTACACAATTGTTTGCTTCCTCACTGCAATAGAGACACAGTAAACAATAGTTCTCTGTCTTACTGCAATAGCAACACAGTACACAATTGTTAGCTTCCTCACTGCAATAGCGACACAGTAAACAATAGTTCTCTGTCTCACTGCAATAGCAACACAGTAAACAATAGTTCTCTGTTTCACAGCAATAGCGACACATTACACAATTGTTCGCTTCCTCACATCAATAGCGACACACAGTAAACAATAGTTCTCTGTTTCACTGCAATAGCGACACAGTACACAATTGTTCGCTTCCTCACAGCAATAGCGACACAGTAAACAATAGTTCTCTGTCTTACTGCAATAGCAACACAGTATACAATTGTTTGCTTCCTCACTGCAATAGCGACACACAGTAAACAATAGTTCTCTGTTTCACTGCAATAGCGACACAGTACACAATTGTTCCCTTCCTCACTGCAATAGCAACACAGTAAACAATAGTTCTCTGTTTCACTGCAATAGCGACACAGTACACAATTGTTCGCTTCCTCACAGCAATAGCGACACACAGTAAACAATAGTTCTCTGTTTCACTGCAATAGCGTCACAGTACACAATTGTTCACTTCCTCACAGCAATAGCGACACAGTAAACAATAGTTCTCTGTCTTACTGCAATAGCAACACAGTATACAATTGTTTGCTTCCTCACTGCAATAGCGACACACAGTAAACAATAGTTCTCTGTTTCACTGCAATAGCAACACAGTACACAATTGTTCGCTTCCTCACAGCAATAGCGACACACAGTAAACAATAGTTCTCTGTCTCACTGCAATAGCGACACAGTACACAATTGTTCGCTTCCTCACTGCAATAGCAACACAGTAAACAATAGTTCTCTGTCTCACTGCAATAGCGACACAGTACACAATTGTTCGCTTCCTCACTGCAATAGCGACACACAGTAAACAATAGTTCTCTGTATAACTGCAATAGCAACACAGTAAACAATAGTTCTCTGTCTCACTGCAATAGCGACACAGTACACAATTGTTCGCTTCCTCACTGCAATAGCGACACCCAGTAAACAATAGTTCTCTGTTTCACTGCAATAGCAACACAGTGAACAATAGTTCTCTGTTTCACTGCAATAGCGACACAGTACACAATTGTTCGCTTCCTCACTGCAATAGCCACACAGTAAACAATAGTTCTCTGTTTCACTGCAATAGCAACACAGTAAACAATAGTTCTCTGTTTCACTGCAATAGCGACACAGTACACAATTGTTCGCTTCCTCACAGCAATAGCGACACAGTAAACAATAGTTCTCTGTCTCACTGCAATAGCGACACAGTACACAATTGTTCGCTTCCTCACTGCAATAGCGACACACAGTAAACAATAGTTCTCTGTCTCACTGCAATAGCAACACAGTAAACAATAGTTCTCTGTTTCACTGCAATATCAACACAGTACACAATTGTTCGCTTCCTCACTGCAATAGCCACATAGTAAACAACAGTTCTCTGTTTCACTGCAATAGCAACACAGTAAACAATAGTTCTCTGTTTCACTGCAATAGCAACACAGTAAACAATAGTTCTCTGTCTCACTGCAATAGCGACACAGTACACAATTGTTCGCTTCCTCACTGCAATAGCGACAGACAGTAAACAATAGTTCTCTGTTTCACTGCAATAGCAACACAGTAAACAATAGTTCTCTGTTTCACTGACAAAGCGACACAGTACACAATTGTTCGCTTCCTCACTGCAATAGCCACACAGTAAACAACAGTTCTCTGTTTCACTGCAATAGCAACACAGTAAACAATAGTTCTCTGTTTCACTGCAATAGCGACACAGTACACAATTGTTCGCTTCCTCACTGCAATAGCCACACAGTAAACAACAGTTCTCTGTTTCACTGCAATAGCAACACAGTAAACAATAGTTCTCTGTCTCACTGCAATAGCAACACAGTAAACAATAGTTCTCTGTCTCACTGCAATAGCGACACAGTACACAATTGTTCGCTTCCCCACTGCAATAGCCACACAGTAAACAATAGTTCTCTGTTTCACTGCAATAGCGACACAGTAAACAATTGTTCGCTTCCTCACTGCAAAAGCGACACACAGTAACAATAGTTCTCTGTTTCACTGCAATAGCAACACAGTACACAATTGTTCGCTTCCTCACTGCAATAGCGAAACAGTAAACAATAGTTCTCTGTCTCACTGCAATAGCGACACAGTACACAATTGTTCGCTTCCTCACTGCAATAGCGACACACAGTAAACAATAGTTCTCTGTTTCACTGCAATAGCAACACAGTAAACAATAGTTCTCTGTTTCACTGCAATAGCGACACAGTACACAATTGTTCGCTTCCTCACTGCAATAGCCACATAGTAAACAACAGTTCTCTGTTTCACTGCAATAGCAACACAGTAAACAATAGTTCTCTGTTTCACTGCAATAGCAACACAGTAAACAATAGTTCTCTGTCTCACTGCAATAGCGACACAGTACACAATTGTTCGCTTCCTCACTGCAATAGCGACACACAGTAAACAATAGTTCTCTGTTTCACTGCAATAGCAACACAGTAAACAATAGTTCTCTGTTTCACTGCAATAGCGACACAGTACACAATTGTTCGCTTCCTCACAGCAATAGCGACACACAGTAAACAATAGTTCTCTGTTTCACTGCAATAGCGAAACAGTAAACAATAGTTCTCTGTCTTACTGCAATAGCAACACAGTACACAACTGTTCGCTTCCTCACTGCAATAGCGACACAGTAAACAATAGTTCTCTGTTTCACTGCAATAGCAACACAGTAAACAATAGTTCTCTGTTTCACTGCAATAGCAACACAGTACACAATTGTTCGCTTCCTCACAGCAATAGCGACACACAGTAGACAACAGTTCTCTGTCTCACTGCAATAGCGACACAGTACACAATTGTTCGCTTCCACACTGCAATAGCAACACAGTAAACAATAGTTCTCTGTCTCACTGCAATAGCAACACAGTATACAATTGTTTGCTTCCTCATTGCAATAGCAACACACAGTAAACAACAGCTCCCCGTCTCACTGCAATAGCAACATAGTACACAACTGTTCGCTTTCTCACTGCAATAGCGACAGAGAGATTAATAGTTCTACATATCACTGCAACAACCTGTAATATTAAACAATGTTTGTTTTGTCTCACTGCAATAGCAAAATGTAAAGACAAATCTTGAAATCTTCACCTATCTCCAACACTTACAACATGGACTATGCCAATCCCAAACCTTTGATAAATGAATCAAAAAGGCCTATACCCCAAACACTGCAGTACCCTAGTCAGCAAGTCTCACCTCCGAGGCTGGATTTCCTTGACAGAGAAGATACACTGCACCAAAATGTCCACATGGAATCTGCGGTAGTTCTTCAAGTTCCTCACGTCAGTGGTGAGACTGACATGTTTTTTCTCCATGGCGCTCTGTGCCGCATCCACATACCTCCTCAGCCTTGTCATCTTGTCCTGGTGACGCAGACAGTCCTTCTCCCCCTTCCCATTCTTCACCTTCCGTCTCTCTAACACTTTTTGATCTGAATGAAACATTGTCACTTGCTGTTACTTCTCTTCCATACCCTTACCATCATCAATGTCCCTCCTTCACCCATGAATACTTGGGCTGGGACAAGTCCAAGCTTACTACCCGGGTACCTGAACCCCTATTACCCGCCCTACCCGGGTTTCCAGCTGTGGGTCTCCATAGTTGCCCAATTGGGTATTGTTTTACTGGAGCCCTGGCAATTACTATTAAGATACATGTATAAACTGATCTGATCATGCATACACTGAAGTTGACTGAAGCTTTATCTTTACTCAAATATATGAAAGAAATGTGAACATTCGCGACTTGTGGTGTAACCATTGTTATATATGGCAGTAGAAGTTATTGTCAAACAAGGTTGTAATTGCTTTACATTGTTTCTGATGATATTCAGTAGAAGATCATAGCATTATGTCTTGACAATGCTTAGTTGTTAACAATGTATTACTATCTAATATTCAGATGTTTTTGGAGTCAAGTGTCATCTGGAATATTAGAACAGCTGGACTAATCCAGCAATGTATAGAACCTTCTAGAAGGAATTTAGACTATACAAGGGGGCAAATGTGTGCCTCTCTCATCTCACATTACATCAAGACCAGCGGTTGTGAGAAGATCTTGTTTTTACCCTGGATATCCATCCTAGGCCTATTTTGGAAGCTTGACCACTGTTGGTGCTAGGTGCTATTATACTTTTTACTTCCATTGTAACTGTACTGCCATTGATTTTTGTACTGCCACTCCACTGTGTACTGGCATTGTAGCTGAGCTGAGCATTAATTTGTATTGATTTGTAAACCTAGTTAATGTTATAATACATTACATGTATATATATCACGTGACTAACCATGGGTCATGGCAGTTCTGTGGCTATCTGGGTTCTTCTCAGGACCCATCTGACCCAAGTTACCCATCCCAGCCTTGATGAATACATACGAATCAAGCACTGATTCTTTCCATGCTATTGGCAGTCTTAATGCAAGAAATTTCTACCTCTCTAGTGCAGGCTATAACCTGTATATGTGAGCAATGAAGCAGTCAGAAATCATCAGCTGAAAACAGTTCACATCATTACCGTCTTCAGTTTTCTTTTTTAACAGCTCGATGGAAGATTTCAGCAGTTCGATTTTCCTCTTGCATTCCTCGATTTCCGATCTCTGGAGACACAAGGATTACATTGATCTAACATGTTTTAAGTCCATGAAATCGCTAAAAAAGCAAAATATTCTTAGGTCCCCTCACATGTGTGAAATTCCCCCACAGAAAATAAACCAGCCCAAATGAGAGCACACCCATTTTCTGAGAAGCCAATGAGTTCATATCTTCATCTGTACAGTTATACCCCCTGTCCACTGTTATCCACAAAAAACACTATGGTAATATATAAGAGCAATAGTGAGTTAGTGAGTCAGTTGGATTTGACGCCGCTTTTAACAGTATTCCAGCTATATCGCGGCGTGTCAGCTTAATGTGGGAGGAAAGCCCGAAGTGATGCAGGTCTCAGACATTTACCACTTCGGTGAAACCCAAGCGCACGGGTATGGTGCTGACAAACCTAGAAACATAATCGGGGCGAACTGGGATTCGAACCCACAATCATAGGTTTCTGGCATGCCCAAGGGACGCAGATCTGCTCAGGGAATCACAGGGCCCTAGACGACTGGACCACATGTGCCCCCTAAGAGCAATGAGACAAATTCAACTGAAACTAGAGTCTCCTAAAGATACACTAGGCCCAGTAGTTTTTGGTGAACTGATCAAAGGATACACTCAGCAATATGAGGGTGGCATGTAAATACTTAAGTACGGACCAGAAAAACCAGTGATTGATTGATATGAGCAGCACCTACACCGTCAGTGTAAGATTACACACAATCAACAAAGTCACCAAACCTGACCACCAAATCCATTATGTCAACTTTAAAGATGTTCCCTTATTTGTTTCAATGAGTATATGTACGCAATCATCCAGCTCTATCAGTCAACCCACAGTTAAGTAGATCCATGATTCATGATTCCAGAAATAATATACTTGTAATCACTCTTGATGAGGTCAGTATGTGAAAACAAGGCCCTGAGGGATGGGATTAAGGTTTGCGGCCTTGAAAATGTGTGTGTGAGTGTGTGTGCGTGCGTGCGCATGCGTGTCTCTATCTGACTCGCAATTGGGTACACAAGTACCCATCACAGCCCTATCACACACAACATGTTGTTTTCTTGGAGACAAAGCAAATATTGATCATTAGACGGGTCAATATTTGAGGTCAGGGTGTCAGTCATGTGACCTCACCAAACCTTTATGGGTCAGTTTTCTATTGTTGGTCAGCATTGAAATTTATTGTTTCAACATGTGATACAAATTACTCAATGAAAGTCATCGATTATTAACAGAAGTATAACAATCTCAAGTAATACCAACCTTCGAGTCCCTTTGATGTTTCTTGGCAACACTTAACTTAATTCTGAAATTGATAAAAAATGTGAAGATGACACATAATTTAAAAGAAATTGTGAATATACTGGCAGCATGAAAAAACTACATTTCGAAGCAAATGTTTCTATGATAAAGAAAACATGGGTAGATACCATTGGTCAAATCTAGCTATATTAGCTAGCCACAGATAATTTCGGGCAAGTGGATTTTACGTAAAATAACTAGGTTTTGAGAAACAACTACCCCCTATGGGGTGAATGAGTGAGTATGGTTTTACGCCGCTTTTAGCAATATTCCAGCAATATCACGGCGGGGGACACCAGAAATAGGCTTCACACATTGTACCCACGTCTGGAATCGAACTCGATGTGACAAACGCTTTAACCACTAGGCTACCCGTCCGCCCCTCATGAGCAAGGACCCACAAGATCAAGAGGAGGCGTGCAGGAGATGTGTACCCTCCCCCATTTTTCAGACACCTTACATATATACATAACTATATATAATCATAACTGCCAAGTAACTATCACAAACAAAGTTGTCAAACACTTCCAAGATCGATGCCTAAACAATGTTAAAAGAAGATATCAGACAGAAGGCAGACCTGGCGTCAGCTTGAATTCGGGTTAGGTCGACATTTCAGCTACTTAAAATTATAAAACAAAGTAAGTTTCTGTCCAATTGCTCATTATGACAATACATTAATTTTCTTAACTAAAAAAAAACCATCAATAGGCAGATCAAACTCTTTTCAGTAAACACAATTTTGTAAAGACAATTTTGAACAATCATCTAATCTGTATTTTTATATTTCATATGTAGAATTTACATGATTAAAAATTCCTTTACATAATATCTCAAATCTGTCAGTGTCATGCATTCATAACTACTACTGTCAGTTGGATCAGTTTTACTTTTGATCTGTGTTACAATCATGTCTATTTTATTATGAGCTAAGTACAGTTCTATCTTCTTCACAGGCTATTGATCATAGACAGACACTGTCATCAATTACTATGATTATGTAACAGAAACACTCTTATAAACTTTTAAATATAAGTTGACCTCAAAAAGTGCAAATTGCAGAATCGGCCTTTACATGAATGACCCAAGATTTCTTTACACTAACACTTCTAACACTCAAACTCACTAAAATAAACATACAAAAATATTATGCCTAATGTTAGAGAAACTGTAAATTATAAAATTGATGTGAAAAGTGTCACTTTCGCACATTAATCATGTTAATATATGACACATTATTATCCTGACAAACAGGAAGCAGTGACACTGCAAATCTTACAATTAATAAATCTCCAAATTCATATGACTGCTGACCCCGAGGCAAAAATGTGACTCAAAATCAATGCGACTTCCCCAACCCCATCCCCAGCAGAATGATACATATCCTTACCTAATTCCAATCAAGCAGCAAATAGCACCGCTTATTAGCACTGAGTTAAGCACTTCAGTAACAACAATAAATAGTGTTTTCCTAAAAACAAACCACAGTTTATATGTTCATTCTGCTGACTGGTATTAAGGAAGTTCAAAGGCAATAAAATAATTGAACCAATAACAGTTCACTAATTGTAGTGGTCAATGATGCCAAGTTTGATACGAGTGGGTAGATCTCTTGATCCCAGCAGTGATAACTCACCGGATACTATCGTGTAATTCCTATTCTTTAAATGACATTGTAATGTACGTGTCACAACTGTATTTGTGCATATATATTTAAGTCTTATTGTTGAATGAGATTTTGGAGACATAAGCTAAGTTTCATCAATGCAAACAAAGACCACTCTCATTTTTCGCACTTAATTCACAATCGTGTTAATTTCAAGATTTAGAATGTATCACACAATAAAGATTCAAATAAATAATGCAAATGAGTGCAATATGTACTGCTTTTCAGTCAGTAGAGTGTCAAATGTGGTCACTGTCTCTAGGAGTCAACCCTGCGTGATGACATCCTTATTTGTGGCACCCACGTCAAATAATTGAATAATTACAGGCAAACAACTGCTCACCAACATGGTGACAATGTCCGGTAACAGCAGTAATAATGGTAATGGTGAATACATTGATCATATAGGACATAAATATTTCATGGTGTCAGACTTGCAAGTGTTAATAAGCATTCAAAACCCGGATATTGCATGTAAAAATCAGCAGCATTAGCCAGAGGCTTCAAATGTTAAAAGGCCCCTCTATCAAATACGGTAATCAATAACAACAATCTGAAAACAGATAACGTTTATTACCATTGTAAAATACAAAAGTTACAATATCTGTAGCACTCTGGGATGCTTGACAAACCTATTGTCTTCCATCTCGCCTCGCGAAGATGGTTCCTGACAGTCTTGTCCGATATCCTCCTCTAACCAGGGATGCGTCCTACAGTCTCCGTAGCTGTGGCATTGCGATGACGTTGGTGGAACAGTCAAATGTAACAATCCTGTGTAGGGATGGTAACTCTTGGTCAGCCGGTTCCAGTGATAGTTCGAGGAACTTGAGAATTAGCCTGTGCTCTAAGATAGAGAACTTGGGTCACAGTGATAGAAACTAGAAGCAGTTATGAATGACATTATTAAATCAAACTGTTATTATGCTATATATTATCACAGAATTCTTCTCTCGACTAGTATTGTGTGATTTCATCTGTGCCAATGCAGGTCAAGGACGTCAGCATCAGGTTCTGCATCGTTGCTTCCCTGCTCAATGTGCAGATCACCACATGCCTCAAGACCATGACTGGTGGGGTCTTCAGCATCATCGTCACACACCTCAACGTGAACCACGAGTTGACATATCACACAGCTCTGTATCACTTTCCCCAGGGAGGTAGCTGGCGGAGTTTCCAATAACTCATTGAATTCTTGTAAAGCTTACAGTATTTCTGACTGACCGCAAATTTCCAGCTTATTACGACTTTGCCTGAAAGATTTCTTGAGAGTCTTCATGTGTTCTTAGCTCTGGGATGATGCTAATCAATGTCCTTGTCGTGAGCATGTGTACCATCACCTGGGCGTCGACACATATTTTCCTAATCTGTTCATGTTTTCATGGTACGCCATTTTGTTTGAAGCAAATGCAAGTGATTTGTGCGATGGAATGTGATTGGTCAGTAGGGGGTACTTAGAAGGGACATAACTCGTAATAGCCACTGGTGGCGCTACGATCGAGCCCAGAAATTCTGGCCTCGTTCGGCAAGGGTGGAAACTGGACTTTTAAACTCCCCTGCCTCAGGAAAACAGGGTATACCTGACACCATGTTACCAAATCAGTTAACAAAATAATCCCATCCAAACAGGCATATTCCTGTCTACTTCATCTGCTAGCCCGACTGCTAAATTCTGCTTGACACTCTGTAACACTCTAACGATGGTGGACCTCATAGACAAGAACTATGATTCTGGACCAGTTCTCAATGCTTCGAGTTCGATACAAAAAATGTAAACATAATAAACATTTTGTCTTGTTCAAGCAGGGAAAAGATGAAAATTTTGAAGGCTCGTGAAATGAAATTTCCACAAGTCCTCTGGACTCGTCTTAAAAAAAAATGAATTTCTATGGCTGCTCATGAGATTTGATTGGATGGCTAGTTTTAGCATTATCTTATTTAAATCAAATGTATTAGCAATGCGTCCTTGGTATTAATCATAATAGAATGGATTTAACAGGCGTATAATATTCTTATACACTAAACTACAGTTAAATCGAACTCAAAGGGATCACTCATATTAGTTTGTTATAACCGTAGTTCGTTATAAGCATATATATACACAGCATATATACAGCAAATGGATGGGACCAAAAAGCAGTCTGTCATATTTGTCCGTTCATTATAAGCGTGTTCGTTATAAACATATGTTAATTATTAGTAGTTAATGCTTGTAGTAACCCCATACTTAGCTGATCTGTATCATTTGCAGGTTGGGCACATGTACTGTAAGCCACAGGACATCTTAGTGAAAACCATGCATATTCACAGCCCAAACATTTGCTACAAGTCCTGTGGGTACACTTTGTGCATGACAACCTTTATGCAGTGTTAGAAATTAAGATGTGTCCTTCGGTGTACAAGATTTGCTGCTACATTATCTGAGTGTAGGGAATCTATTACCCATAAAGAGTGGGATCATGACAAAGGGGCCCTGGTTTTCAGGCCTAAAAACAGAGCGACAGAAATGTATTTTGATTCAAGGACACTTAAATGAGGTTTAGATATGCCCTTTGGAATTTATTTGTGGAAACTAGAATACTTTCGATCAATCTTAATACTCCGGGAATGTCACTTCACCATAAACAATTATCTGCTCAAATGTGTATTCAGTGTTTGCATGCTCATTTTGCACATACTGTCCAGATTATACTTTTACGAAAGAGCATTTATCATAAGCTTGTTATTATATACATCATCATGAACCTCGCTATTCCTTATATTGAGTATATAATCAGCTTGTATTGTTCCACATTGTGAGATGTAACTTGTAAGAAGTACATGTAAATCTAGATACATGCATCTTCCCGAGGCAAGAGAGTTAACTGACTATAAAAGTTTCAGTTTCCACCCTTGCCGAACTAGGCTGGAATTACTGGGCTCGATCGTAGCGCCACCAGTGGCTATTACCAGTTGTGTCTCTTCTAAGCCTCTCCTATGGACCAATCAGCTTTCACCTCTCGTATCACTTGCGTTTGCTTCACATAAAATGGTGGCGCCCGGTCAAGACGAACTTATCGATAATCAAGATCTATATTGTGATAAAACGGGGTTTTACATCGCGAAATGCATCAAATCATGCGAGCACCTTGATTAAAAACATGAAAAGATTTGGAAAATATCTGCTGACAACGAGTTGGCGGTGCACATGCTTTGCAAATCCTGCAATCGACCTCAATCTGCATGAAGGTTTACGAACAGGATTTCGATTTCGGTGCGCGATTTTGATTGGACTATGCATACTGCATAGACTCGTTAGTCCAGCCATATTGTAACTCCATAATACCAGCCTTGTTTGGCAAGGGTGGAAACTGGACTTTTATAGTCAGTTAACTCCCTTGCCTCGGGAAGATGCGATACATGATGGTTCAATATTAATAAAGGAATGGTTTTAAAGGCCTACTTTTAGAATACAGTTACCTACCTGTAACCATTGTAAGTGTTCATCATCTATTCAGTTCAGTTCTGAATCAGTGTTGGCACGACTAAGTAAATTTGTGGACTCAGCTCTTTAACATGCTTAATAACCAGGCCACTTGAAGAGGACTAGAATCACAGAACACAGCTTGTATCAGACACTGATTGTGTTTATTGGTTAATCAGTCATTCATCAATCACCTATGAATGTGTGAAATGTAAAATGAATGAATGTTCGAAATGTAAATTGAATGTATAGGGTATAATGAATAAAAAGTGACAAAAAATGTTTGAATGTGTGTAAACAGAGACCATATAATATAACATTGTCTCTGGTGAAAGTAGGCTGTGAATAAATTTGCTATGAAAGTGTATGCCGTGCCAATATGAGAATTTTGAGTTGTGAATTAAGGATTAGGAACATACATGTTTTTGTCGTTTTTACTTTAATGGTTAAAAAATAAATTGGTACACATTGTCCAAACTTGGGTACAGCTCCTCTAAATGTGTGTATGACTATGAGTCATCCACAGATGTATACAAGTCCGCCAAATAAAGTAAGGGTTAGCCATTTTCCTTGAATATGAATCTCCGTTGGTACAGATCATCTAGTATCCTTTTATAGAAAGATGTCACCATGTTCATAGTATTATGGGTATGGCATATATGAAATATCTTGCTATTTATACCTCAAAACAATCACAATCGAAATTTCATTTTCTTGTTGTTAAAACTTGAATCATTGAAATATTACACGCGTTGTATTATGTACATTTACAACATTAAAAGCACATGAACTCATATTTAAATGTATCATGAAAGAGGGGTTTAATTTGTGACGCGTGAAGCGAATCATCGCCAAAAATAGACGTGACACGACTGAGGTTGGCTAATATGTGTCTTTCCAAATTCCTTACTCGGTGATTCACATTAAATGCCTACCTTTCTTGGAGTTCGCTGCATTCCTTCGTCTTTGCCTGCCACTTATCTTGTCTTGCATGGAAACTGTAAGATACAATCAATTGTAAACACAACAACAGAGAACAAAGGCATCTGACAGATCAAAACAAACTTCGGCCAGTGTTACCTCTCTTTGATATTCGACGATGAATACGCGAAACTGCCTTTGTTGACGCAACTTGCGCAGTAAAATGGTCTTCTAGATGTTGTACAGAGCGGACAGCGTTCAACGGCAACGGTCAGACCATCAGAACTTTCAAATGATGTTGGTAACAAGAAATCAACAGGGGCTAGACTACTTTCACAACTGGAGGCAGCCATGACATTACGTCATGTGGGTTTGTTTACTACACGGAATTGTGGGATAGCCACATATAAACAAAGAGTTACCTCCCTTTGATTATGGATCCTTAATAAATGACGTGTTCCTCATTATGTACATGACAAATGTATATACGTATAAAATGAACCGATGAACACTTTTGGGGAGATTTACATTGAAATTGGAACTATTTAAAATAGCAGCCCGCTAACACCGAATAGATCATAGCCATTTTGACCTTTTTATTCTTCGCCGTTCTGACTGTTGATGCCAAGGTCGTTTTTACTTTCTCCCCCACGAATTAGCAGGTTTACCAAGACTGAATAACCCTTTAGCAACATAAAATATATCATAAACAACAATTTCAGATGGAGAAACCTCTTTAAACGCGAGTGAAAACAACACTCCATTAATGACGATGAACCCCTCGATCATCAGTCAACCCAAGACACTTTACTTTAAATCTAAAAAATCAATCTAGAGTTTACTGAATATTCTAATTAAACATATTATAATTGAGGTCATTTAATAATTTGGCCCTTTATTTCACACCAAACAGGGCATGCTCAATTCGCTACACTATCATTACCCTGGTCAAAAGATCAGTGTGCACGGCGTATAACAGTATTCCTTCACTCTTCAGTTGGGCTGGAACTGTTTTAGGATAGAGATATCTTCAGGACAGTCGGGAAGTAGGGTCGTATCGGAAGACCCCAGATGAATCCCTTGAAATAGGTCAAATCATCAATTCTAGTATGCAGTCACAGATCGAGGTAATACCCTAAGGACCTCAAAAAAAATTTGGAACTTGGGGAAACGTTCTGCGCAGACTTCGGCAAGCTTTAATGTATGGACATTGGTCTTGCAGTATAAGGGGTTACCGATAGACAGTTAATTATCACCGACAATTTTGATTTTTTTTCCTTAACTTATACTTGCAGTATAAGGGGTTACTGATAGACAGTTAATTATCACCGACAATTTTGATTTTTTTCCTTAACTTAAAATGGCTATAAAGTCATTATTTTGGTAGTTTTTATTTATTTTAGTGATACTATTGAATGTACAGTTCCAAGAGCTTTCCATATAACCATAACACATTATATGGTTTCAAAAATGGATTACGTGACCAGCCCCGAATGCATTATGGCGTTTGAACCTGTTGTGGACGTGCAGAGGGTATGAGTAAGTATTCCTAAGGCAATTTCATATTTTGACACTTGATCGATGTCTAAGGATCACGTGATAGTGAACCATGCATTTGAAGCTGTTTTTTTTTTTTGCTAATCTAAACGATTAGGGAAAAATAAGACTTGGGGGATTATGGATGAGACATCAGGTGCCGTGACTTAAAACTGCACCATGTACCCAAAAGTTACAACCACCTTTTGTTGTAATATTCCGTTTCAAACGTAATAGTGTATTTGTAATAAAACTGGTAAACATTGTAAAGCTGTAACAGAATTTATATCTTGTGAGAGTGAGTGAGTGAGTTGGGTTTAACGCCGCTTTTAACAGTATTCTAGTTATATCGCGGCGTGTCAGCTTAATGTGGGAGGAAAGCCCGAAGTGATGCAGGTATCAGACGTTTACCACTTCGGTGAAACCCACGAGCATGGGTATGGTGCTGACAAAACCTAGAAACATAATCGGGGCGAACCGAGATTCGAACCCACAATCATAGGTTTCTGGCGTGTCCAAGGGACGCAACTCTGCACAGCGAATCGCGGCGCCTTAGACGACTGGGCCACCCGTGCCCCCATATCTTGTGAGATATTGTACAACTAAGTCTTATTCCGTTAAACGGATATATCGTTAAAGGGGGGTTATGCTACACGATCTGGAACCAAGTCACCGAGCCTAACCACCCGATCCAGTAAGTCGCCTCCTCGACCAGCAGAGGTCGCTAGGACACTAACACTAAATCGCCATGGGTTGGATGAGATTAGTGAAGTGCTGCAATCTGGGTGCCGTTGTACGAAGCGATATTAGCGCTAAGATGGTCCTAGCTCCCATACCTTAACATAGACTTACGACAGTCGTAGCCTAAGATCGTTTTGTTAACAATGGCATCCGGAAACATTGTCTGTGTGTGATTAGGGTATTTACCAACTGGTGGATGGTTTTAAATGGCTTCGTCTAGCGTCCCTTTAAGATAATGCACTTTTTATCGTCCCGACACTATTACGTACCTCATCGGTACACCGCTTCTCTCGAACAACGGGTAACCCGGCATATATATTTGATGATGGTTATTAAGGGATCAAACTATGCTCACCAAATTGTAGCACTTTACACCTGTTGTTCTCGAGATATAGTTATAGTTTATTGATATTATGAACGAAAGCATCATTAAACAATCACTTGTACTTCATATGCATACAGGGGCGGTCGGGTAGTCTAGTGGTTAAAGCGTTCGCTCGTCACGCCGAAGACCCGGGTTCGATTCCAGACATGGGTACAATGTGTGAAGCCCATTTCTGGTGTCCCCCGACGTGATATTGCTGGAATATTGCTAAAAGTGGCGTAAAACCATACTCACTCACTCACTCACTCACTCACTCATATGCTTACAAGTATTTCGTAATTGCAGTCGCTTTATCTTAATGATTTTGTTTGTCTGTATTTAGCATGAATTAATTTTGTAAACAGATAGAAAACAGATAGAAAACAGATAGTAAATATACTAGTTTTGGTTTTACTTTCGAACAAAAATAACGTAATGCTTTTACAGGTAATATTTTCAGTGTCCGCTTGTCCAATGTATAAAAAGTAAGTGGAAAAAACATAAGTGAAAACTCCTTGCATCATATCAAGCGTTGGGTCGTATGGATTCCATAGCAACCAGTGAGACTAAACTGACGAGCGAAAGAAACGTTACCAAACTGAAATTGTGACATATCGGTTCCAAACCCTGAATAGTGCTACAGAATTAATCGCCCCAAAACAGCCCAAACAATATGCTGAGTAAAGGACGTGCTGCAGTGCCAAGACCAATGGAAACTGAGCTTGAACTGAGAATGAGAGAACATGGCGTTGGTATGACCACGTCGCAAGGAGTTTGGGTTGTACCCGAATGACAGTCACCAGGCGGATGGGCCCTTACAGGTCGACTGGGCGGACGGGAGACAAGCCTAGAAGAGACATCCTGTCACCACTACCAGGACGACCGCTACCTACGCATCCTTCATTTGAGGAATCGGCTTCTCACGGTGACGTCAACGGCGATGACTGTGTCCAGAAGACTGTGTCGGTACAATATCAGAGCTCACAGACCACTGCAAGGCGTATCCGGAACATATGTGTCTAAGACATCGATTGGCTCGAACACTGGGACAGAACAGAAAATAGTCAAGTTCTTAGACGACAGCAAATTCCAACTTTTCAGAGACGATGGAAGAGTTCGTGCCTACCGCCGACGAGGAGAACGGACGCTGTGGCGTTCAAGACGTCGATCCGTTTGGGGCGGCATCTGTGTCCTGTTATATGACCGTCCTTGAAAAATAACTCCCCCCCCCCCCCCCCCCCCCCCCCCCCGGACCCCCACACAGCACGTCTTATAATAACATGAACGTGAACGCAAGAACGATCACCAGACATATCACCCATAGAACCCTTGTTGGATCACATCGACCGTCAAATTAGAGCCCGACCAGTTCGTCATTATAACATAATGGCTTCCCATTTCTTGTGATCTGACGTCTCACATCTTCTGCCTGTCGTCGACTTAGGACGTGCTTTGATGCCCGCGATGGGCATACACGATACTTACAAGGGTGACACAAGTGTGTCACAAATGTGACATTCGGAAGGATTAAAGGGAGTTTCGTGTCTTGATTGATCGATAACCGAACAACTGACTCCATCCTCCAAACTGTGGAAACAATACCTTCAGTTGCGCTTTCATTCACGGCTTAACTTGTATTTAGAACCAACGATCATAGGTTCCTGTCCTGCCTAAGAGAGGCAACTCTGCACAGCAATATTCAACATTCAAGTCCAGCTAGCTAACAACTGCATTCTGCATTATAACGTTATTTCACTATGTATAAAAATGGACGAGGCAACGCTGTTCTTACAGCTGTGAAATGATAAAGAATAGCCGGCGAGAACATGAATTAAATCTAAAGTCATGTCAAATCTTCTGTCTTTTATTACACTTTTATCATCTAGAACAATTCATTTACGTCTTTTATGGCGTAATAAGACGACCTCAGTAACAGAGGTGAGGTTTTCATATACCGTGCTACCTCTAAATCACTTGGGAGCATTCAACATATGTATCATGTTCATATTTGAGACTGATACGATCTGAATTTACATTTCATTGTTGCGGCGAAATGCGTGGTAATGTAGACGTTTACTGCAGCCTATGGTTTTATCATACACTGCCTTTGTTCTAACAACATATTGGGCTGTGGAGTAGCCCAGACCAGTGGTTAAAGCATTCGCCCATCACGCCGAAGACCCGGGTTCGATTTACATGGACACCATGTATGAAGCCCATGTTCCCGACGTGATATTGTTGACATATTGCTAATGGCGGTAAAATCATACTCACTCACTCACTCAAACAATACACACGAAGCTTTTAACTAACGTTACTGACATGTTTCCTTTGAAAACAAATAATACTTGTAACGATAAATTAATTGATAGATATAAATTTAAGTGTTTGTGAAATATAATGTAACGTATGTAGGCTTGATCCCTGTAGAAATTCCGGGTCAGAATACGCCCCCAGTGGAAATGCTTGTAAGATCAGACTGATAGGTGATCGGGGGTTCGGGCCCTGTAATATCAGTGGTTGTGGGTTATAGTATCCTGATCTGGCGTTTATGGTTGCTCATGCTTTCACTCACTAATTTGGCTGCTCTAGACTCGAGTAGCAATATGACATAGCTGCAATGACTAATCAGTGCGGTGTTAAACATGTTTTTTCATACACCATCTATGAAATGGGGCATTTTGCATCTGCTATGGAGCCAATATGGAGACGGACAAATCACAGGGGGTGTAATAACAAGGCCCGTATTACACCCATGTGCGTAGGGCTGGGTATGGCTTGTCGACCCGTGAAGTTCGGGGTAGAATAGGTCTTCAGCAACCCATGCTTGTCGTAAAAGGCGACTATGCTTGTCGTAAGAGGCGACTTACGCGTACGGGATCGGGTGGTCATGCTCGCTGACTTGGTTGATACAATTGCGTGGATCGATGCTCATGATGTCAATCACTGGATTGTCTGGTCCAGACTCGATTATTTCCAGACCGCCGTCATATAGCTGTAATTAGAGTCACGTCCTTTAGTGCGTCGTCTGCTCGCCTGCTCAGCTAGCTTTCCCGTTGCAATCTCTTCCAAAACCAGGTGAAAATGTATTGCATTTACTTGCAAATAGACACTTTTACAATTTGATGTTATGGTATATTATAAAAAGGTTAGTATATGACAGTTTTCATATTATATCCGACATCAGCCCGACATCCCATATCAGCCTGTGACCCGTGAAGATCGGGGGTAGAATAGGTCTTCAGCAACCCATGCTTGCCGTAAATGGCGACTATGCTTGTCGAAAGAGGCGACTAACGGGATCGTATCCAAATTGCGTGGATTGATGCTCATGATATCAGTCACTGGATTGTCTGGTCCAGACTCGATTATTTACAGACCGCCGTCATATAGCTGTAATATTGCTGAGTGCGGCGTTAAACAACAAACGACAACAAAAACATATCAGCCTGTGTAATGCCATATAATAACCTGTAGTTACTCACTCACTCATTAGGAAGGCATTTTTTTACTATTTCCAAGCAGCCTTTATAAAGCTGGAATATTGCTGAATGTGGCGTTAAACAACAAATTAATAAACAAACAGCTTCAATGTTAAATTTACATATTTTTATTGTAATAATTGGTGTATATGAATATAAAACACTGGATTAATAAAAGAAAATTCGAAAAAATCGAAATAGACTAAAACAACAAAAACCCGAATGTGTTCACTATGATTCACTGCCCAATCAGTTATTCCGTTGATTCTGCATATATGCGTTAAATATCAAGATTTATTTCAGCTGGTCTTTGAAAATATGGTGACCACAGCAGAAAAGACAACCTGTAACTCTTACAAACACACACGCACGCACGCACGCACGCACGCAGGCACGCACGCACGCACACATTCGTTAAAACAAAGAAACAGACACTTCCATTCATGTCTGTATTAGTCACGATATGGCTGAAATATTGCCGATGTGACTATAAATCTTAACTCACTCACTCACTCATGTCTGTACTTTGCTGTATGTCCCTGTGACAGTCTATAGTATATCTATATGAACTGACCTTCACTCTTATCGTAGCAGCGAAGATAAAGACAGGGAGAAAAGTCACGAACACAGCTGGAGACAACTTGAGACTGATTCTCAAGAGAACTGTACATTGGGTCGCCATAGCCTGCCGCACCTCACAGCTCGTGTCAATTTTGTGTGTGCATGTGTGTGTGAATTGTGAGAGTTGGGTTTAAAGCCGCATTAAAAAGTATTCCAGGTCTCGGACGTTTACCACTTTGGTGAAATCCACAAGCACGGGTATGGTGCAGACAAACCTAGAAACAAAGTTTGGGCGAACCGGGATTCGAACCCTCTTCATACGTTTCTGGCATGCCCAAGGGAGGCAACTCTGCACAGCGAACTGCGGCTCCTTAGACGACTGGGCCCCCTGTCCAAAAATGTTTCAGTCTCAAACATACGTACGTTACTATCGCTCGTAAAAACTCCGATGTTCAACATTAAATTTAAGAAACCCAATATGAACATGAAATATATAAAATGTCAGGAAGTACATCTGACGCGCATTCGTGGGTTTCGCTGCATCAGCCATTGAAACAATCCCCAAATCGTTAGTTGTCTGTATTTATATGCTTGTGACCGAAATTCAAAATATAAATGAAACATACTTCACTCAACACGTTTTGTTGCAAAAGTTTGTAAATAACCGATAGAAATTGTGAAACTAGTGTTTCCTAGGAGAAAAATACCAACTTTAAGAAACGTCAATATTTCTTAAAACTATTGTACAATGTTGCAAAGTAAAGATGAAAATGGAAATATTCGTGACTATACCAAACTTAAATAAGGAAGTCCTTATTAAATTAAGCCATTTGTTGTAACCATTAGGAAACTGAGACGTTAATTCTTAATATAGATGAGAGCCATAGCTGAAATGTATTGTATAATGTGTATAAAAAACATACGTTAGACAACCTCCAGAACACAATAAACAACTCTGTCTTCTGATTCCAAATGATCATGCATTTCCGATCACGAGTTACAAGGTCATCTTTGAATTTTACACAATATAGCCACAAATTCTGGGCGTTGGTACAGGTAAATATTAATATTTAATCTTTGAGAGAACAAACTCATTCCCGTTACTGTTCATGACCGTTACATTTTAGATAGAACCTATGTTACATAAGGTAACGTATGGTTCATAATACTTCAATAGAAATATTTAATGTTGGAACAAGAAGAAATGTTTCTTTTAATTGTGTTGAAAATGTTACCCAAAATTTGCATCAAGTTACATCAAAATATAGTATATGCAATCGCAGCTTTGTTGTAATGCGTGTTAGGAACAATGTCCCTCTCATAATAATGGTAACAAGAATGAAGAAATATTCGTCATAGATAACAATGTTCTTTTTTTAAAGTTAGTATTTCAAGAAATCTTACACCGATTGCTGTAGAAAAAGGAAACAGTGTATGTTCTAGGGTCTAAATTATCAGATAATTATCTATTCATAAATTGTTAACTTATTTTATTTATGTTGAAGTTCATATGAAATCATTCTAAAATGGCGTTGTCCGAGTGGTTTGGTGTGACTGCTGGGATTGCATTGTTTTTCACTGATATATTCGAGATATTGCGTAGTTTGATTTAAAATCCAGTGCTGACGTGGGATTAAGTGACGTAACACTCAACTTACAAACACACGCATACATACATACCCACTAGGTGGAGATTGGCTCAAGAACCCACACTCCCTTCAGTTAGGTTGGTTTAGTTTTAAGTTTTTCCTATTCATATCAAACAACAGACAACACAAACCAGATAAGGTCCCAATGTGAATGATAAAGAGTGACGTAACGCTCAACTTACACACACCCGCGCACACACATACATACCCACTAGGTGGAGAGGTTGTGCGTGTGTGTGTGTGTGTTGTCGAGTGAGTGGCTGTGTGTGTGTTTGTGTGTGTGTGGTGGGGGGGGGGGGGGGGGGGGGGTGAATTGTCGAGTGAACGGCTGGGTGGGTGTGAGAGTTGTCGGGTGGGTGAGTGCGATGTGGGTAGGTACATGGGCGAGTGAGTGCGTTATTGAGGTAGATGCACTTCCATGCACATTTGCATACATGTTGCCTTCTGTGGTATTAACAAAGCGATAGGAACTATCAACTTTCAAAATCTTGGTGTCAAGGTCACAAGAAACAGCCCTATCTCTTAAAACAGACGGAGCTAGCAGTCCTAGACCAAGTTCCGCTGACTTCAGACAAAATCTCATTTAAATCAGATATTTTACTCCGATATGAATCCCCCCCTATGAGAGCATTTCCATAGGAGGTCGTGTCACGTGAACTTAAAATTCTAATCAACCAATCAGGGCCGAGGCTTCTAGATTCTCGGTGTGAATGAGCGAGCATTCAGAAATGCATATCCGAAAGCCGACCCCTGATTGGCTCCAGAACCCACGCTCCCTTCAGTTAGGTTGGTTTAGTTTTAAGTTTTTTTCTGTTCATATCAAACAACAGACAACACAAAACAGATAAGGTCACAATGTGAATGACAATGTTATACTCTACAGATGATACCTGATGGTGACCTTTACGCGAGTCGTGTGTCACTCATGTTTGTGTCACACATGCTCTTCTTATCGTATTACATTCCGCGAATACTATTTTGTCCAGGTCGTGCTATTGCCATTGTTTTGTTTCCGTTAAAATGGTTTGGTTAATCACCGTTTAGGACATCTTCCCGAGGCAAGGGTGTTAACTGACTATAAAAGTCCAGTTTCCACCCTTGCCGAACTAGGCTGGTATTATGGAGTTACATTTTGGCTTGACTAACGAGTCTATACATAGTCCAGTCAAAATCGCGCCCCGAAATCGATGATTGGTCCACAGGAGAGGCATACAAGGGACATAACTCTTAATAGCCACTGGTGGCGCTACGATCGAGCCCAGGAATTCCAACCTACTTTTAAAGTCAGTTAACTCTCTTGCCTCGGGAAGATGCCTTTAGGACAGTATTTCAGTTATATATCTTCAGCTGTACCTAGGAAGAAGGCCCATAGTATGTGTGTGTGTGGTGTGTGTGTGTGTGTGTGTGGGGGGGGGGGGGGGGGGGGGGGTATAGAGGTTTACCGCTTTGATGTAGCCAACAAATATTCTGATGGCGAACCTGGGAACATTATTTGGCTAATTTTGGATTCGACTAACTGCTAAGGGGCGCAGCTCTGCATCAAGCCGTACCTCCTTAGACCTGTAGTCGATGATATGAAGCAAGTTTGATATTTGTATCTTCAATTAAAAACATAACAAGAGGTTTAATGTCAGTCATTTAATTCATTTGAAACAAACAATAACTTACAGGATCTTATATCAAAATCCATTTCTATCACGGTTGCCAATAGAGCCATACATACACGAAACAGATACACAGATATGCTATCTTTGTTGATATATATTTTCCAACTTCAACACCTATTGCAACCACTGATATACAATCTTTTGGATATACCACGAACTGCTTTCACAATAAGGCGGTTGTTCGCGACGAGGCGCATACGGTCATTATCACAACTTCTCATTAAGCCACTATTGAACAAGTCCGTAAAACTGTATATCACAAGTTATTTCAGCTTTTAAAAATTCGATTAAAAACAGTATATCGTCAGGAGATCATGCAGTTACTCTCACGGGATGGTTGAATAGCATGCCTTCGCTGTCCGATATAGTATGTTCTTATGAAACAATATAAATGAAATACTATCAACTAGTGCGGCGTGTAACTACAGAATGTACTTGCATGTTTGGATGGCTCAGATGAAATTTCTACCAATTTCAGGCAATTGCTTTTTCTTCTCATGCATATTGAAGTACGGGAAAATTGTATGATGAAAAACATGAATTACGAGTAAGGTGTCAATCTTAGGTTAGAATTCATTTTCTATTCATAGAAAAATCGTTGGTCATTTGTCAAGAAAAATAAGGAATTAACTGACAATAATTTCGGATTGTCAGGAGCTTAACTTGTGGACAATCACTTCAGATGATCAGGACTTGATTTTGTAGGTAATCGCCCAGGACGAATAAGAATCGAACTTGTGGACACTCATTTGGGATGGTCACGGGTGTAATGTGTGAACCGTCGTCCAGGACGAATGATAACTGTCCCTGTTGACAATCACTTCGGATGGCCAGGAATTAAGCTTGTGGACATTCACTTCGGATGGTCGGCACTGAACTTGTGAACAATCACTTCGGATGGCCAGGAATTGAACTTGTGAACAATCACTTCGGATTGCCAGGAATTGAAATTGTTAACAACCACTCTGGATTGCCAGCAATTGAACTTGTGTACAACCACTTTGGATTGTCAGGAATTATATTACAAGCAACTGCCTCCTGAGTCCCCAGTTGTCTCTGTCGATGCATGTCCCGAAGTGTCATAGACACACCAGCTCTGGATGACATCCCTCCAGTGTCAACTATTCGTTACATTGCAAGAGCTATGCACAGGACAGCCGGTCGTCCGATATGTTTGTTGGCTGTCTTGAGTCTCCAAGTAACAAACTGATCTAAACAAATAGAACGTTAAATAAGAAAGTGGAGTATTATCTCCGAAACATTATCATTTGCCGAGGTTTATAAGAGGGGTCTTATTAAAATCTTGATATCACATAAAAAGACACCCCTGTAACTGGAGGACAGACTACCAGGAGACACAAATTCTGTCCCCGTGAATTAATTAAAGTCCTACCATACGTTCGAGAATAAGAGCATTGATTCTCCGCGGATAGATACTCGGCAATTCTTTGCCACGAGCAGATCATTCTATAAGTTACCAACAGTAATCTTTGTTACGGATGTAAACTATATTCCCCGGTACTGAAGCTCTCTTTGTTGTATATGATATATAAATATATCAATATAGTTATTATTGAAATGATTGTAAATTCGTATAAGCACATTATCTTGAAATCTCTACCGTTTTTGAACGACATTGAAAGAGTTTATGAGCAGTGTTTATAGACACGGCGTGTCAGTTTACTGCGAAGGAAAGCCCTAAGCGATGCAAGTCTTAGACGTTCACCACTTTGGTGAAATCCACTAGCACGGGTATTGTGTTAGCAAACCTAGAAACATATTCAGGGCAAATCAGGAATCGAAACAACCGTCATATGTTTCTTGCACGTCTAAGGAACGCATCAAAGCACTAAAGTCCTGGATCTCGTGCCGTGCCCCTCAACCATTTGATTAATCGACTGTAGATTGTATAAAAACATATAAGAAGATCCCTGATAAGTCATACCTCTGGCGAAGAAGGGATTTGGTCTCTGGCTTTCATCTCTGCATTATTGATGTAGTTCAAATAGGAATCCAGCAGGTTTTGCATTATCTTTTGCTGTACATCAGTTATGGCTGTTGGGCCCATGATGTCCGGGATTTGCTTCAAGTATTTCATGAAGAGATAGGGGGAGGCAGACTCAAACACCTGTGTGTTCCATACACCTGCGAGAGAGGATGGTATGGCGGACATAAATATGTCTCTGGAAACAGTGTTACCAGACTGTTGTCCTGGTGGTCCTTGACATAAACATAGTCCTGTGACTTGAATACACTTACAACTACATTCGGTATCACTCTCTGAGTCGGAATCTGTTGACATGTTACAGCTTTTAGCCCTCCGAGGCCACTCCGATGGTGCATTGTTGTCATATGCTTTGTCATACAGAACCTCAAACGCTTTGCTTATTTCCTTTAAGGATTGGTTCTCCTCCCCTTGTTCGTAAACATCCCGAGTCTTTATAATGTTTGGTAAGGGGGCAGAATGTACGTCTCCTTTCCTAGTTACCTTTCTTCGATTTGAGGTATCACTGTCCCTTAACGTGGTTTGATTCCGAGTCTTGCGTTTTTGCCAACATCCACAGCCACATTCTTGGCCGTACAGAGAATGGGAGCAAGTGCTTGTGGAATGTTGCTGGGATCTTAGAATAGAGTTGATGCTTGCATATGTAGTAGTGCCTACCGCTGCATTACCTGTGGAACATTCGTCTGTTGGAGGTTGAGCTGCTGAGTATGTTGCACCAGTTGTAGCCTGCGGCAGAGACTGTCCATATTTCTTTATCTCGAGACCAACAGAAGATTTCATTGCCGATGTCATGCTACCATTATTACTCTCAACATTTAGTTCATAAATACGCTGATTGCTCGTTGAATGATACTGTTTCCCTTGCTGCCAAGATGACGGGGGATTGCTTGTGGTTTTGAGAAACCTTTCACAGATGGTGCTTGTAAAATTTCCACTGTATCCCTCCTCGCTGTGACCAAGATCAGGCTTTCGTCGTTTACCCCCAGTATCTTCCATGCTGCTGCTACTCTTGCGACGACAACTATGCGACGGTGAGGCTGGCCTCTCGAAGTCCTCCAAAAGTTTCAACATTGAATCAATTTCATCACTGGACATGGAGTAAAGTGCTGACGGGTCTGTGACTGGAGCTTCATAACTCGTAGAATCTGTCGATGGACTATCCGGACATGTACACTCAGATTCCACTGGCAAAACGGATGCTTCCTCCAAAATATAGTCTTCCTGCGCATCTTCCTGCTCAGTGGTAAACGGTCTTCCATAGACATCGTCATTATCAAGCCTTTTCTCCTCATCTTCATAAGTTTTATACTCAGATGCACTTGTAACAGTTGAAGATGTTGACGGTGGAATATAGAGGGAGCTTAACGATTTAAGAGACAGCCTGTCCCTTGGCAAGCTTGTGATCATCTGTTGCAGTGCGTACTTCGACCAAGGCGTCCTCAAGACATTTGTACCACTGATCCCAGTGGACGTGGGTTTGGAACTGGTCATTGGTTTATCAACAACAGAGTCTTCAGTTGTGGGCAAAGAGTAGTCCAAGGGAACTGCTGAAGGCGGAGGATTTGGTCGTGCTTTGATCTCCAGCATCTCAATGTCGTTGCTAGAGTCACTTTCATTTGAATGTAAAACAAGGATCTCCTCAGTTTCGTCTATCATTGTCGGGTAACTACTAGGAGTACTTGTTCCTTCTACTCTGCAGCAGTCCAGATCCTTTTTCTTAGGTCTACCCATCTTAATAGCTGCAATATGAATGAAGAGATATGTAAAGGTTTACATGTATAGAAGGTTCCCTACTTGATAAGTTGAGACTTAACGGACAGTTTATCTTTGAGGTCATTGATCAAAATTGTACACTGTCAGTTGAATGTACAGTAAAACGGCGTAGCTTCCATACAAGACATGATGAGTTATAACCGACAGTTATCAAGGTAACACTGCCTACCATCACGTGACATTCCAACGCTAAGGCACTTCCGGTACCGGCATGCCCTGCATGTGTTCCGGCTTCGTGGATTTATGACACATGTGTTGTCCCCCTTGCATTGATAGGTTCTATTCTCCACAAGACCGCGGCGAAAGAATTTCTGAAAACAATCGAAATCATATCAAGATCAATGTCTCGGCCATCTGTTTTATTGATTGGGTTCATTTCAATATACCAACACAGTCCCCATCGTATACTGTAATTTACACACTGTACTATATAGAATGTAATAACAAAGACAAGGTAATTGAAGAATAGAGCAACAAAGCTGCGAAGCCCACCTGAAGTTTAAAGAAATATGGGCGTATAAGTAATATTTAGGGACACGCTGTAGGTGAGATTATTGATGCAAAATGTTCCAGAGGAGCTGACGAAAATGCAATCACACTAGAAAAACAGGGGTTGTAGAAGATCAAAAGTCGTAGCTTTATCAAAAATCAAAATATGCCACGAAAAACGCCGTAGGATATGTTATTACCCAGACCACATACTTGTTGGACATGAAATCTCATAATGAGGCATGCAGGAATGGCGAGTAACTCTCAATATTTTTCAATATACCGGTCGGACGAGGTGACGCTACATACGCTCACTTAAGGTGAGCTAAAAGGTAGCACCAAGGCTCATTAAGTAAGCTACATACTACCCAGTCAAGAGCATGTCCCGACCACAGGGAAGTGAAACTTATTTTGCTCGACTTTCTTATAACAGTCATGTATTGGTAAATAATTAACTTGTGGTTTAGTCACAAACCAAAACAACAAAGGTATAAATACATTTTCTGTTTAAATTAGTGCATTTTATGTAAAAAAAGCTTATCCAAAATCTCAATATTACAGTATATACGACCAAAACGACTAACTTAATATACAAAATGAATTTCCAGAGATGAAGGTTTAGCTTCACAACACGCACCTTACAGCCCTCGCACGTGTAGACACCGAAGTGGATGCCATTGGCAAGGTCCCCGCACACAAGGCACAAGTACTGACCCTCTTCAGGTTCGATCCTCTCGGGTTTTTCTGGGGGGGAAAATAATATAGGAAACACTTTAAAATAAGGAGTACATGTACTCTAATGCCCAGGCCATGTTCCACGAAGTGACCTCAGAGCTAAGACGATCGATCGTACCTCCCATACATAACCATAGATCATCGTAGCGCTGTTATCACTACGTGGAACGGGGCCCTGAAGGGTAAAGAATAGTGAAATTAATTTAAGGGACATATTGATATCACAACTGTTTAAAAATGGGAGTTATGAAGAAACATTTCGCAGCATCTGAAATGATCACTGGTCTGAAGGAATTTGTTTAAATGCATTTTGGAGAGAACTAGTGTAAGGTCTGTCACGGAGCTGCGCTCCAGAGACCAGGGTGTCAGAATACAAGAATAAAGTAATAATGACAACGTGGGAATAGGATCACATGTTACTATCAGCTAGCTGTATCAATAGGCGACAATATATAGGATCCAAAACCAATTTACACTGACAATGATCACCGATTAATTAAATCAGAGCAAATACATAAGCTATTTACCTAAGCAACTGTATAACAGTAATAAAATGAGAGTAGCAAAAACAACACTTTGACAAGATATTGACAAGATGCGTAGACAGCCAATTAGGTCGGCTGCGACCAATTAACACCTGAGTTAATTAACTTAACACTCTAATGAGTGAATAACCTCGGATGGGCTCAATAGCAGGTAGCGGGTCCCTAAAATAAGTATTTTTGACAATAAGATAGGTATATCAAGTAGTAGCCGTGTAGACTAAAGACTCAGTCACTTCAACTTGGCACAGAAATTCTAAACTTCCACAAAATAGAAGGTACTTGACCTCAGGAGTATCTAGACTCAATAGAAAAGGGGTACTAGACCAAAAGAGTAACTTGATTCACAATAGTAAACAGGTACTTGACCTAAACTAGAAAATCGTGGGATAGTTGGTTATCCATAGATTACTGGGAAAACCCTAGCTAATAAGTTTAGCTCAGATAACCAGAAGTCGGTACTAGATTTTTTAACACTGCCCCATAATCACTTACGAACGAAACCTGAGTTTTGAATGACCACCCAGTATCAAGACGACCTGTAAACTGTCTAGCGGAGCCTGATACAAAAGACACGTGGTTTTGACAAGGGCGTGTGCGCGGACGTCGGTGAGAACAACCTTCTTGGTAAGCCGTGGAAATGCAATAACATGGAGAGCTTAGTCAAGTGTGTTTCTTAACATAGGAAACTAACTACTTAACCAATACGGACGATGTAAGCACCAAAATAAAGCGCTGAACATAATCTATACAACGGTACCACTAAAGATTTACAAGCAGATATGTACAATAAATACCATAAATACATGTGAAACATCTACACCTAGAATAAATCATCATCAATTGAGTGTTTAACGTCCACTTCTGGCGTTCCAATTTCGTGGACGGGGGCTTAATATAATGATATATGTGTAATATGGAATAATCATAAAAAACTGTCCCAAAAATGTTACTGAAGGGGGTAATTACTAAAGTAACAAATATATCCAAGAGAGAAAAAATGTTTTGAATAAGTGTAGTTAATTAAAAATATATAAAAAAGTATCTAGATGGGAAGGGATGAGTATCCCAGTTAAGCTGATAGTTATAACAGGGGCCTATAAATAAAGAAAAAGGGTTTTAAAAAGTCAGAAGCCTCATTTATAAAATCCCACTAATGTGTGAAAATCATTGTCACAAAAATAGTTTCAAAACATGAATAAGGTAGCAAACATATATGAAATAATATATATCAAATAAATACATGGTACAAAGTGTACCATTAAATCGCAAGAGAATAAAATATATGGGTCACTATTTCTCTAGCAATAAAATGCAAAGGCACTGGACAACGATGACTGCCGGAGTTTGCCGAATGGTAACGAAAGACGGACAATTAAAGGAGAGGGGTGCGGTCGGGTCACTAGACCGTGACTAGACAGTATATTTTGACCCGGTGACAAGGCCATAACAAAGAGATTACACGTTGTTTCGTATCTATTGCAATTGTAACCTTACGGTCTCTATGTTGAGGTACAGGAGGTGCTATTGCCCGGTGAGATTGCAAAATAAGATAAATCCCATAAAAAAAACCATTTGATGTTAAAAAAACCCGTTATGCTTATTTGTTGTTGAACGTGGCCTGTACATAATGACGTCTGGACCAGACAATCCAGTGATCGATATTGTGAAGAACCATTCACGCCATCATGACACCCAATCGACTGACAGCGCGTCTGACCACTCTGTCCATTTAGTCGCCTCTTACAACCAGCATAGGGACGGTCGGGTAGTCTCGTGGTTAAAGCGTTCGCTCGTCACGCCGAAGACCCAGGTTCGATTCCCGACATGGGTACAATGTGTGAAGCCCATTTCTGGTGTCCCCCGCCGTGATATTGCTTGAATATTGCTAAAAACGGCGTAAAACCTCACACACTCACTCACTACAACCAGCATAGGTTGGTGACCTGTTCTAAAACAGGAATCATCACGGGTGTCATAGACAAATGACTGTGTGTGTCAGAATAGGCCCCAAGTACACCATGGTGTCCATCAGAGACTACTTAAATGTGGATCTGATGGTCAGGCATACTCCTACAGCGTGATACGACGCTCATGGTATCAACCACTGGATTGACCGGTCCAGATACGATTATTTACAGGTCGTCGTTCCATAGTTGGAATAGTGCCGAAAGCAGCGGAAAACCACAAATATCATAGAACCTGCATTGGTTGTACTGTATGTACAGTGCTTAAAAGAAAAAAATGGAATAATATTTTCATGTGTTGCTATTTATTTCGTATTAATCGTTTGTTTCTTAATGCTTAAAACTTAACAGATTCTGACAAACAAGACGTTACTTTGTTCTGGGGATAATGATATACTGGTAAACGAACCTCTTCTTGTCATTCCAGCTTTTAGGCACTTTTGGTATCTACAGGACTGACACCGAATCCGAGCTTGCTTCGTGACGTCACAGCTGCCATGGCATTTACTAGAAAAAACCGGTTCCCCCTCTTTCGTACAGCGTATGTAAAAGCTCTGCAGATAGAAAGATTTATTAAAATATAGATATACACTATGCGGTCACATGAAATCAATATGTAGGAAGGTGTCAGGACAGGAATGTTTCATCTCTCATCCCAATTATCAATCTATCACAAGGATAAAACACATTATACGGATTGGAGGGAGGCAGTTTTTATCGACCTTGCAGTCGACCTAGCAACAAAGTGTTTTACCTCAAGGTCGAAGTACATATATATTCAGGGATAATTGATGGTTAGTGATGAGTATCTCCGTATGGATCTAAGTGAACTAAATGAATGTTAATGTGCTTACATAGACCGAGATATCGACACTGCTCAAAATAACAGCATGCACAAGCGAAATATAAAACTTGACCTTGACGTTGATTGTCTTCGAAATTATTGATATGTGCCTGTTATTACAAAATTGTCAGTGAAACCATGGAGGGTAATATATCGTTTACAAATGTCACAAGAATCGGTTTTGTCTGGTAAAAATAATCTTGTTTGATTAGTAGTTCAGAAATGTCAATATTGTCCAGGTTGTAACGCAAGAGTTATCGTTCCTGGCATAATCCATGCGGTTTGTTTGTTAAAGATTTTGAACTCGGATTCTGTCTACGAAGACGGAGAGAAAAGTGATTTGGTGGTGATCTCGTCATTTGGGCAATGTGCTACCTTGCCCTGTATGTAAGAAATAAACGACGAATGGGAGTTGTTTATCGTACAATAAAACACTGCAGGCACCTCATGGTTTATTCTCCCAGCAGTGTTTTATTGTACGATAAACAACGACCACGAGTCGTTTATTTCTTATAAGAGAATCAACATTTTGTACAGCCTTTTTAAGGATGTCAATAGATTGTACGCGCTTTAAAAACATTTACCCGTATATAAATAATGATGACTCCCCGAATATAATCCGACCTCGGCAATGTAGTACTACGCCATTTTATGTATAGGGGCGTTAAGTTTGGTATCCTCACAATTTTCACTTTGTTTATCTGCATCCTTTCTCTCAATACCACCATATCTCTCCTACCTTTGGGTGCGATCGTGGCGTTCATCTGCATGACGTCATTAAGTTGCAAGCGCATGTTCGAATCTCCAAAATGACGTCATGGTAGAACACTGTTTTTAGATTTATCGCGTAGCTCACTCACTCACTCACTCACTCACTCCCTCACTGTATACGTTATCGACTGGTCAAATGCCGTGTCATACTGTACTCTATCGTTGCACTGTTAAAATAAATATGGTTTCTCTGTATGTTGCTGTACAAATATTATCAGCAGCGGTATTTTATGAACCTTCAGCCATTGATAAAGTTTCTGTGAAATGCCATCAGGTTTATAAAGTGCAATTATTCGGTTTGTTTGTAGCACGGTTGCATTGATTGGCAAACAAGGCTTCCCGAGATAAATTATGGAGAAGGAAAATATTCCAACATCGATATATGGAATTGGATCCCACAGAATAGATCAGAATATTCCCTTGTATTTTATCAGGTCAATGCAAGCATCGATGGTTTCTGAACGAAATAAACACGAGTACTTGTATTTTCTAGACAGATCGATAAATGCCGTCAGTGAATTCATTTGTTTCAACACAACAAACGTGTTATGGATTTCTGCTTCTGTCGTTGTGGAGAATTTGGGTTCATCACTTCTAAGATGCCAGTTTTGTAATGTACTCTTCTTGAGTTGTGTCAGACCTGTCATATGTGATTGTATAGTTGTGTCATTTATACGGGTGCATATATACTTACCGCCCAAAGAAACGCGAATATCATACACGTTGGTTGGTTGGTTTGTTGTTTAACGCCGCACTCAGTAATATTCCAGCTATATGACGGCGGTCTGTAAATAATCGAGTCTGGACCAGACAATCCAGTGAAAAATTATCACGAGCATCGATCCACACAATTGGGATCCATGACATGCGTCAACCAAGTCAGCGAGCTTGACCATCCGATCCCGTTAGTCGCCTCTTACGACAAGCACAGTCGCCTTTTACGGAAAGCATGGGTTGCTGATGACCTATTCTACCCCGGATTTTCACAGGTCTACGAATGCGATAACATTTGTATTTGTTAGTAGTTATTGGCCCCCGTCAGCGCAAGACAAAGCAAACAAAATATATACAAGAGCAATAATTATTTTAAAGAAAAGGACACTATGCACAATGAATAATGTTCCAGAAATATAAATTCACCAACAGATGGAAGACATTAAGTATTCTTTTATGCACAGAACATTGACATTTAAACAGCATGTACCTTCAGGTTGACAATCACACAGTGGTGAGCAAAACGTTTGTTCTTATTCATGTCTGAGAGTTACAAACATGTCTATATTGAGTCATAATGAATAGCTAGAAGTAAAACGTATGCCCATATCTGTCTAAGTAATGTCATCGCTATTAGGTTGCGTGCCGCAAGAAAGCACAGAGGAACGATCGGGTCGGAGAACACATTATTGTCTATTTCATGACACATAAACCGCAGAGATGAGTTGAGGTGAAATGGGGTTTAACGTCGCGTCCAAGATCACGTCGCGTCGCGTGCGTGCGTTCGTGCGTCCGTAGGGGGCACGGGTGGCCCAGTCGTCTAAGGCGCCGCGATTCGCTGTGCAGAGTTGCGTCCCTTAGGCACGCCAGAAACCTATGATTGTGGGTTTGAATCCCGGTTCGCCCCGATTTTGTTTCTAGGTTTGTCAGCACCACACCCGTGCTCGTGGATTTCATCGAAGTGGTAAACGTCTGAGATCTGCATCACTTCGGGCTTTCCTCCCACATTAAGCTGACACGCCGTGATATGACTGGAATACTGTTAAAAGCGGCGTTAAACCCAACTCACTCACTCATCACTCACTCGTGCGTCCGTACATTGTGGATGTGAATGACTGCTTCTACTAGTCCGGGCTTATGTCGATTTTATAGTGCTAGCCCACTGAGACACCATGCCGCAGTTTAACATGAATACCCAACTCTGACACAGTAAACTGACCCCGAGCCGACCGGCCCTTGTTTTAGCCCCTTAATGCCGAGTGCCAGGCAGGGTTACAACAAGTACCATCTTTTAACTTCTTTTGGTATGACGCGGTACCACTAGATCACTGAGGCGGTCTTAAACCACAGAAGGTGGTGGCACGTAGACTATTGACCGTAACAGTGGATGTTTATATGTATCTTATAGCTAGGATTGAATATGCAAATATTTGGTGAAATTCTCTGCTAAAGGTGGTTTGATAGCTAATACTTAGAAGTTGACGGATGACAAAGTAGAAACAATGTATTGATAACAACTTCGTTAATACTGTAAATAATTCGCCTTTACAGTATTAAAGAGGTTGCTACCCATAAATTGTGTCTACTTTGTCGTTATCTAATAGACGGACAGACAGCAACAAACATACATTCTGATCCAGCAGACAAAACAAAATGTATTTAAGGGATTTGCAAACAACCTTATACGGACTTTCTTAACCCTCCTTTATAGTTGGATACTATTTCAAGAAATCTTCAGAGCAAAGAACAACCTCCATCGTTACTTTGAGCATGCTGTATATATCTTGGCGCATTGTATCGCTACCTAAGATATTACCTAACCCGATCTTAGACGCGTGAAGATCCGGGGTAGAATAGGTTTTCAGTAACCCATGCTTGCCATAAAAAGGCGTCTTTGCTTGTCGTAAGAGGCGACTAACGGGATCGGGTGATCAGACCGCCATCATATAGCTGGAATATGCTGAGTGCGGCGTTAAACAACAAACAAAAAAACAACAACAAAAAATAACCCGATCTTACGTCTTTGATGTCTAATATCAAAGATACTTTTGACAAATTCATCGCACTTATCCCCACAGTACTTGAAGGACACCCAAACCCAGACCCGTCAACAACCATATCAGGAAACATTACAGGAAGTTCCTGCAAGACCAATGAACACTACTTTGCTCATTGAAAAGGGACTTAGTAGTTACTTATTAGTTACTTAATAGTAAGTGGTTACTAAGTAGTTCACAAGGCTTAACGCGTGTCCGTCACTAGTCATATATCACCCAGACAAAGTTATTTGATGAGCAACACAGATATATACGATCCTATCAGTTAAAAAACCCGTTGATTCCAGATACGTTTGGAAAATGATTGGAACAGTACGTTTGGCTAAAGATCGTACTGGTCAACTGCCTTTCAAGATCAAAGACAATGATGGTAATATTGTTTGTGGTTATAACTTTGTCCTTGAAAGGTGTAAAATAGATTTTAAAAAGCTGTAGGGTCATGCTCCGTGGTAGGGTATTAATTTGGATAACGAAAAGTCAGAAGATATAGTGCAAAATGTATTCTGATACTGCAGTCAATGGTGGCAAGGCGGACCTGCGATTCATTAGATGTTCCTATCATAATGGTGGAGATTGAGGGTGTGCTAAGATGACAGAGTGAGTGAGTTGGTTTAACGCCGCTTTTAACACTATTCCAGTTATATCACGGCGTGTCGGCTAAATGTTGGAGGAAAGCCCGAAGTGATGCAGGTCTTAGACGTTTACCACTACGGTGAAACCCACGAACACGGGTATGGTGCTTACAAACCTAGAAACATAATCGGGGCGAACCGGGATTCGAACCCACAATCATAGGTTTCTGGCGTGCCCAAGGGACGCAACTCTGCACAGCGAATCGCGGCGCCTTAGACGACTGGGCCACCCGTGCCGCCCCCCTATTATTAACTCCCACGGGGGATAAAACGGTTGTCAATAATTGGTGTAAAAAGTGGACTTGCAGTAAGAATCCCCCTCAAAGCAAAGTTGTTCATTTCAGGCCCAACAATGTAAATCGCTCCAATACCAGCTTTTCAAATGGCGATACTGTACCAGAGCAAACATAAACGTAAGCGCCAGAGAATAATCAGTCACGATTATCAGACGAAACAGATTTTATTGTGGGTAACAGGCAAAACAGCCGTGAATGACACCAGGTGTTCGTGAAGTGGGTAAGCATGTCTTTCTTATA